ATGAGCCCAAAAAATTATATCTGTAATTACCTCAAACCAGCTATCACTATTTCTTATGTGGGTGGCCTAAATAACCTATGGTTGCGCTATGAATGGACAACAAATCAAGATTGTGTTCTATGCAGATGATGTCCATGCTACTGACTGATACTGAGGATGACTTACAAATCAATACGCAAATGAAGAATTAAATACGCAAATCGCAAGAAGCAAGACCATAACGATAGCAAGACAATCCCGTAGATGTAAAATAGCAACTAATAACAAGATCGTCGAACATGTATCGGGCGAAAATTAGAAAAAGAAATGTATCTAAGGACAACAACAGACTTGTCAAAGCGAACACCAGAAAGCATCTTATTTTCATGGTTGGACAGTTTTTAGAAAACATCCAACAAATATTCTCTTGCAGATGTGGAGAACTTGTTGCTAATCTTCGGACGCTACATTAAAAACTGCCACACTCACAAGAATATTCTTATAAAAATATTTATTACTTATAATCCATTTCATCAACCGGGAATAGAGTTAGGATAGGATCGTGTTGGGATTCTGAAAGTTATTTATTAAGACATGTATATGAAAGGAATATTATTATATAGGAGGTGAGGATTAAAAAACGAACTTGTTGAAATGAAAAAATTACCTTGAAACTCAGCTACCTTTAAATTAGTAAAATAATTATTCCAAAAATTAAATCCCATTCAATTTTCTCTTGTCACCTTATCTTTATTGTATTTAAATCTTGACCCAAATAACAAAACCAACATATTCAATTAACCCATTTCAATTTACAGCCTAATTGAAAAACATACATAAGCAACCAACAAATATCAAAGGTAAAGTTAATTCTTAAACACACCTTTTAACGGTACAACCTTACATCGAGTCATTAAAAAAAATCAAAAATTTAAAAAAATAAACAAACAATAACAGTTTCTTCCTGTCTACTTAACATTCAAAGAGACGGACACCTGTTCGAGAGACATAATAGCATTTAACTGAAAGTAAATACCATCGTAACTAGACCACGCTCTATTAATAAACGTGATGTAGTCACAAATGCTTATAATAGTTAGTTCTAATACATTGTGAGTGTATTTGCTAAAGACGACGACAACCGCGATTACTCAAACGACGAGCTTGTATCTCTCTCTAAAGATTCTGATTCATTGATAACTTGGTAGAAGGTAACGTTATGATCGCCTCTTACTGTCAAGGTGATGATGTTGTCTCAGATTATGCAACTAATTCTTTTTATTGCGTTATTGTTAATAAAACTTGTTAGGTATTACTTAAAAATAAGATTTAACATCGAACAAAAATAGATTCATTTCAAATTCAGATTTAGATAAGAAAAGGGCGATGTCAAGTTATAGGAGAAGATTTCAAAGAAAGACGTTCTCTCGACTCGTTTTACTTATTTTGTCGTTGTTAACCGAAGAGTGAAGTTGAAGTTTGCATGCGCGCATAAATCTTGAGATATCATCGGTTTTTGAACGGGTTGGTTTCGAAGGGGGAATAAATACAATAATTCATTTAAGATCATTCCCAGGTGGATAGCCGTGGGGTAATGATGTTTTGTTCGTTTTAATGATAAGAATCTTTTAAATCCCGGCTTTCTTTGTTCGCGTTAATAAAACTAAAAAAATTAATAAATACGGGAAATGAGGACGAGAAAAGAAATAAATAAGTTATAATGTTAAAAGATAAGAAAGGAGAAATTCCTGTAAGAAATGTATGATTAAAAAAGATTTTTGTTAATTTGAAAAACGATACACTCGTTAAATAAACGACAAGTTCTCGCAGCAGTCAAGTAACGACTACAACATCAATTAGCCTCAATTTTAAAGAAACGATCGTTTTCCACACTTTACCTTGCTTAAGAACCATGATAATTAAGTCATAAAAACTTAGGCAAAAGGTAAATTATCTTACGCAATTTCCTTTTTAAATGGAATCAATTAATATACAGGGTGTTTAACATAAGAACCGACACAGAGCAGGGAATAAATTAAGATGATTTAACGTAACTTACCTCTATACTAAGTTGTACACCTGAGGAGTTATTGAGGAGGTTTTCTCCATCTTTTCTCCATCACCTTTCATTCTTGAATTATGATCGATTTTAACACCAAAAATACCCAATTTTGACGATTTGCGGATTTTCTCTTTATCACCTGAAAATCATTACATCTAACCTAAATTTGTTTATGGATTATGTCTTCTTAGTTGACAATAAACAACTTATTCCTAAAAAACTTTTCTCCATGACCTTTCATCCTTGAGTTATGATCAATTTTAATACCAAAAGTACTCAATTTTGATATTTCGATGATTTTCTCTTTTTATCATTAGAAAATCATTATAACTAAACCAAATTTGTTTATGAGTAATGTCCTTTTAGTTCATAATAAACAATTTATTTCAAATAAACTTTTCTCCATCACCTTTAATTTTNACAATCAATTAATCGGATTATCGGTCGGCACGATTAAAAGTAAAACAACTTTTTAAAATAGCTAATATTTCGATTGTTGATTACAATCTTCTTCAGAGCATTTTATTGCTAAAAGATTTTACAAAGAAAAAACGCAAGTCAAGCAACAATCAAAATTGAGTAATGAACCATTAACAACTCGAAAATCTTAATAATACAACGTGGAACAAGTAGACGCAAGACGTACGACCGTCAATTGTAAAAAGGGAAAACTTGTTTTTTAAAGTGAGAACACAAATCCCAAAAATTCAAGATGTACAGTGTAAAGAAAAAATTCATCAAACGTATTAATATAAAACAAATAATAAGTTTAATTTATATTGAATTTCTAAATCTTTATCTTTATTTAATTTAACTCTAATTAATTAGTATAAATCTAATCAAAAAACTAAAAAAACATATCATAGAGAAAGTTGAGGTGTTATTAGGACTAGAACCTTGTAAGTTGGGTGAATTATTGTGGTTAAACCTATCTAAGGCAAACAAATAAGCATAAATGTGAATCATCCTGTATATAGTGTAATAAAATCCTTGTTTCCGAAGAAACAGAAAAAAGACTAATTAAATTTAAGAAATTTAGTATTATGGATTAGGCTAAGTAGTTACGTTTTGTTATGATTTTCGTTTAGATTTAACAAAATTCCTTGAAGTCCATGACCTTCAAATTTGACCTTGTCATTTACATTTTTGACAGGTATTGATTTTGGCGACTTTTCAGACGATTTTAGATTCTAACAACATGCCAGATCGATAGATTGTATCGATTTAGCCGCAATTTCATCCATTTCTGTATCATTTTGTATATTTAAATTCCAATTTTTCATTTCCAAGCGTCAACATCAAATTACGACTTTCTCGAAGAAAATTGACACCCGAAACCGCGTTTATCTAAAAAAACGGAAAATTAGCTACAAAATTATAGAATCTTAATCAAATTTAAAGTTTATTAATAATTTCGAATATTTTCAAAATTGACAGTTATTTTCGTTAAAAAAATCAATTATTTTGGCTAACCTGTGTAATTTATAATTCCCGCCACTTAATCAACCAATCGGAGAGCCCAGATTCAAACTGAGACGATCAAATTCGGATATCCAAGAAGGCTTTGTCCAAAAAGGGTATATAAGGCCGCGCAAATTGACAGCGGAGACAGTTCAAATTTGGCTATAGCCAAGCGTTGTCGAATCTATGTCAAATTAACCTTAAATTTTCTAACCTAAGTCTGAACTTAGAATTTTTTTTTATCAAGTAAAAGTAAAGAAGTGTTTCTGAATTATCTTCGAAGAAATCGAAACCATACCTGAGTTTCCCGAGAATCCTAAACTTCTAACACCGAAGAATCCCTCAAGATCAAGGTCAGCCATCCATTTTTAACTGACATGTCACACCACCAGAAAGAAACAAGATAAGTGAACAACTTGAACTTGTTCCTCGTTTAAACCATTTCGTTTCTTCAGAACTCTTTAATTTTTATAACCATCGCGATTAAAAATCAATCTTAAAAGATACTCATAAAATTAACGCGTATAACCTTTCTCTACAACACTCTTCTAAACGAGTTACCTCTTGCTTGCACAGATGTATTTATTTAGGCTCGTTTTTATGTTTAGTTCGTAAATTTAAAAATTTTGTTAATAGATGTCTCCATGAACCTGCAATTTATTTTTCTATTCCCTGAGATTCGTGTAATTAATTTGTAAAAATTGGTTTGCATAAATAATTATGAATCAAACAAAATAATACAATATATAGATATAATTTTCTTCTTCGAAAAGAGGATTGAGTTACCCACCTTCTGGTTGTTGTAATTTTTTTAACCGCAAGTTCACGTGTAAGATTTTTTTGAATTCAAGGTACGTTGACCTGTTAGATTAATAGGATTCAGATCGGTTTAGTAAGAAAATAGACCCTGAGTAGGAGAAGTACGCACGAACGATAAATCTTTCGGAGAAGATTTAACAACTGACTTGGTTCGCGTTCTTCCGCTCTCTCCGTTTAGTGGACCATTGTGCATTAACGGAATGTTTATGAAAGACGTACAAACATCCGAAGACGCAAACACGAGAAGTCTCTTCGGAATTGGTTAATATAATCGAGAAGTGCAACGTCCTACAAAGACGAAAATATATCAACTCTAAACGTTTATTAAAACGTAGTACAAAAGCACTCGCGTATATTTATAACATCTCCGGGTTAACTTCTTAACTTTTGAGCCCTTTGCCAAGACTACTAGTAGTTTTTGGGTTGGGTTTGAATAACTATGTGCAAAAATGCTTGGGAGTGACTAAGGTCCATAAATCACTAAATAAACTATTTATCTTCATGAATATTGCATCATTCCCAACGTTCCTCGACCAATTAGAAAAGCCGACTGTATAAATCTTGCCTTGTTGACAGATTATTACGAGATCAATTAACTGAGAAAGATGTACTTGAAATTAAATGAAATATTTCACAAAAGGAATCTTGACGTTTTGTAGAAGATATCTTTTTTTTGCAGAGTAACAACGACGAAAACGATTACAACGACGATGATTTAGACGATGGTAAAGATGACGTACAAGCTGAGGAGGCCCCTAATGAATCATCGTTTACTGCAACTAAATGGCAACAATATGGAACGATGGATAAAGTTTATCAAAGTAGAAAGAAACACATGGAAACTAGCACTGGTAAGTTTTTTGCCATAAATATGATCCAAAATTTACTTAAGAAATCTTGGCAGCTTTTCTTTGTAAACAATCGTGCCAGTGTCAATGTTACTCGTTGCATAACCTTTTTGGCTTAATTTAAATGTCTTAAAATAAATCCAACCAAAAAGATCACACTTTAATAATCTCTTTGGTTATTTAAGAAAAATTAAATGTATCAAATGATTTATGATATTGGAAATCTTAAATACATAAAATTAATGACGTTATCGATCGAATCAAGGTCGTCTTGTCAATACAAAAGATAAATTACGACCTTTTTAGAGAAATCTATTATGTATTGAGAAATTATTAATGGTCTTTGGTGAAATGTTTGCAACATGAACCACTACCTGGTTTAACGAGATAAAGAAAAGTGAAAACCTTTTAGGATACGATCATAAATTTGATTACATTTTTTTTCAAGATCTGATAAAAAAATAAATAAAAACATGTTCATTCGTAATTTAAAACCCCCTCGAGACTTCGCAACAAAAACGTGACGTTCTTCTCGATCTAACACGAGCCAGACTTGCCAAGAGCAAAAACCTCAACTTTATGAAGACATTGAACTGCTCAGACATGACAATTGTGGAATGTGTACGAACAACACGTTTCTACAAAACAATTTTATCGCAATCTAAAAAATCGTACCAAATTGTAACTCAACGAATCCAAAGAGACAACTTTCTAAACAAAATCGATAATTACAAACACGCGACGTCTTTGACTAGTCAAGAAGAAAGTTAATTCTCCAATTCATTCATTCATCAACTTGTAACAATTTTTTAATTGCCTAAGTTACACGTTTTCTCCCCATGACAAGTTTGAGGGTCTCTTTAAAGAGGGCCACCCACGAGTAAATTGAAAAAAAAAAGTATCCTCGGCTTTAACTTTAAAGAGATCCCCTCAGTGCGATCGTGACTTTGGATTCACCGAACGGGACAAAGAACAAACTGTTCGTGGTGGTTTTTCGCGGTTTACGAGGTCATTACAATAAGATCTTCTTCGCTTCTTCTCAGCTACCGGTTTAATTTACATAAAACCAAAGAAACATGTTCATTTACACAAAGATTTCATTTTTTTTTATATTTTTCTCTTTTTGTGTATAGGTTTTGAATCAACAATGGTGATCGAGCATTTTAAAAAAGTTACCAAAGCAGGTGAATGTTCAACTCCAGTTGCGAAAGTAATCGCAATTCAAAAGGAATATCCAAGTCCTGGTAAATCTTACATGCCACATTGTACGATTTTGCATCGATGTTCTGAAGATACCGGGTGCTGTCATGATCCGACGAAACAATGTGGTCCAAAAAGTCAAACTGTTGTTCATTTATATTTTTACGTAAGTATAAGTTTTATTTTAAATGTTTTCTCATGTTACTCATGTTGTAACGCACCCAGTTGCAAAGCAAATATATATTGTGAATTTCTGCCACTTGCTGAGGTTTCTATTTAGCTTAAACTTTATGAGACTCGAGAAAATGGCTTAGTTTCAAAAAAATTATCAAAAAACGTCAAAAAGTGTGAAAGAGTGTAAAATACTTCAGGTATACAATTAAATCACAAGAGCTATAATGCATGATTAACAACTTATACACTAATCCACTCCTCGTCCTTCTTCTTTGTATTTCCTCTGTTGAGTACCCTACTCTGTAGGATGTAATATTTTCTTCTTTCTTGTTGTCCATACTCTTCCACCCCAGTCCTAATCTCACTACATAGAAAAAATTAATTAATCGGATTTTCGGTCAGCAGGATTAAAAATAAAACAACTTTTTTAAAATAGCTAATATTTCGATTGTTGATTACAATCTCTTTTATTGCTAAAAGATTTTACAAAGAAAAAACGTAAGTCAAGCAACAATATTTAAGAAGGAAAAAATATAACTTACTTGTAACTCGAAGTGGCGTAAACTCTCAAAATTCGTCAAAAGTTAAATTGATCAAAAACATCATGTAACACACATTTCTAACATGTAACATTCTAACATGTAAAACTTTTCGTAATTTTCGTAATCCATCTCAAAAAAATAGGATTTTTAATTTGACAGTTAATATATGTAAATATTTGAGCGCCATCTATCAATAATTTTTTAAGTCATTTAATAATAATATTAAATATTAATAAAAAATGTGAAATAATGCAATCTATTCCAAGTTTTGTGTAAAACAAATAAAAATTAAATAGTTCAACAAATGTATTTGTTTGAAATATCAGAAATATGTTTCTTTAATTTTTAGTTATAATTTACAGGAAACTGTAAATTTAATTTCTTTGACGACACTAAAAAAAAGTTTATTTTTAGCTTTGTTCTAGAACAATAAGAAATAGACCTGTCAAACCCTATATTTTTGTAATCAGAAAGAAATAACGAATTTAATGAGCGAATAATCAGTGGTTAAAGCAAAGTAGCAACTTCCTCAGGAACATCCACCGATGTTAAATTAACAAGCCACTTTGTACTATCATCACAAAATTTAGAACTATTGTTTAGACCTGATTAGCAATTGATTAAATTTTCTACAATTAACACCCTTTATCTGACTGAAAACTTTGTTAAATTTAACTTTTAATGAATCTTTGAAATTATAGAAAACATTATGAGGTAAACTAGCTCTAGCAAGATCAGATAAATCGTTTGATGGGACTTCAATCTTTTTTAAATTATCAATAGTGATTTTAATTTCCAAATTAAGAGTACTTGCTGCCCACCTGCTTCCTAATGAAGTTGAACGTGTTGGTATCCAGCAAATTGTCCCAATTCTTCGTGTTGTTACCTATATGAGTAGGAATGAGTCCACTTCTTCAAAGATGTGAGACGATTCTTCAATTTAGCTTGATGTTAAGACGTGTCCATTTCTTCAAGGTGATTTTTCCATGATTTCTTGTAATTTCTTCATAAAACTCCATAACTATAAGTATTACAGCAAGAAGTAGTAAGAAGTTTTTTAACCTACTCCAGACAATTCTGTACTTTACCGTTTTTCTGCTTGCTACCATCATCATCTTCTCCGGCTTCAACTCTCTCTTTCTCTATATATCCCAGAGTCCCCCAGCTTAACTCCAAGATCCACCTCCAATATCTTTCCTAGATCTCCTCCACCATCTTGTGTTCCTGCAACACTTCAATAAAAAATCGTTGAATGCTCCAAAGCTGACGAATTCGTGTTGATGTATGACCAAAACCAACCAGCGCCTCGCCGGCAAGCAACCTCGGCAAAAGCAAAACCTTTTCCAGATTTGTGCAAATGTTGTCGCACTTTAGAAAGATTTGGCAATTTGGTCTTTTGAGAAAATTTTGAATACATTATTTATCTTCACAACGAGCGTATGTTAACTAACTCCATTGAAGTAGTGGAGAAGTACCAACGGCCTGAAAAGACACATATTTATAGTAGCAAAAAAAAACTTACTAGAAATCTAAAATTTGATTAAATCCGATTAATGTAAAACCACTAAATACAACGTACAAGAAGTATTTGTACTTTATTTAAATTCAAAAAGCATTTTACAAATTACAGCATACATAATCATTAAAGTATATAATCCTTTTCTCGAGCTTTGCATCTCTAATTATATGCGTTTTAGTTTTATTATGCTTCGGTTACATAAGTACCAACTCAGTAAAACGACTAAAAGGACTAAAACGGTGAAACGAGTAGTTAAACAGCTTGTAAAATGACACCGATTATCAATGGAAAACGCTTCAAGTACCAGGAGTTTAGTTGAAAGTGAAGAATATTCGCGTGAGACTCACTAAATAATGACAGTTTATTAGGTAGACTCCAAAAATTATTTATAGCGACCCGGAAGCGGCCGATGCACATGCAACCTACTTTGTAGGTACTGAAACTCGTCTCTAAAACTTTATATAACACAATTACGATGGTCGGAACTATATGTTAATAAGTACAAAGGGAATTTAACATATAATTTGTATAATAGTGTTAAGAGTTTTCTTATTTACGCTTTAAAAATTTTTTTTAAGATAAACCATGGTTTAATAATGACTGGAATTCTACCTGAAAAGGTGTAGAAGCTTCTACTGTCTTATTAAGATAATTTTAAAAAAATTAATAGAGTGAAAAAAATGATGATAAGATACTTTGTATTCAATTTAAAGTCGTTAAATTGACATAACTCAAACGACCAGATGCGGTAATCTATTAAATTCACATATCTCGTTTAAATCTAGGATCGTTTATGACGCCAATTTGATGCTGCGGGAGCCGGGCTAATAAACTTCATCGGATTAGATCAATTAGGGCAGTTAGTCACCTCGAAATAACTCAGCCGTCACGAAGCAACGCTATTTTGTCAGTCTTAATATAAAGCGTTTAAAAGAGATGAGTGAAAACGAGCTTCATACGCGCTTCATGCAGTTAATTAGTCTTTGGAATCAGTTTTAATTAAAATCTCACTTTTCTAGTTTCTTTCAGAGAGATTTTTCATCAAATATTAATTTGATTAATATACTTACAAGAATAGGCGAAAACTTTAGTACAGAAAATTACAGAGTCGGCAAGTTATATTGAAAGCAATCATTATCACTTAGCGAATCACGCCTCGAAAATAATTCTATGATATTATAGGTACTTATTCAACGTCCTCGGGGTGTTTTAACCTTGCATTTGCGGCATTGTTTTTTGAGAAATAAACGAAATAAGTAGGTAATAACAATCCGTTTTTGCTCACAAATAAATCAATTCATTCTATAGAACATTCTTTTATACACAATCAAGAAATACAAAAAAAAACTTAAGAATCCTTTCACTGTAAAGGATTAGCAGCTAATTAAGAACACGTTTCCTTCACGATTAGTATCTCGGGATGTATTCGAGATGTACTCAATTATCGCGAAATGGTAAAAGGAAGGAATTTATTATTTCTCGAGGTGAAGTGCATTTTGATTGAAGTTGCATTAAAGAGAAATTTATAAATTCTACTAAGGATGGGAATGAAAGTTATTTTAAAATTAAAAAAGTTTTAATTAAAATTAAATTTTTGTTTCAGGTTCAATATCAAAGAAACACAAAAATAGAACGATTAGCTTTTGCAAATCATACAGCTTGTGGATGTATTGATAAAAATCAATTAAATGCAACCAAGTTTTCTATTGATCAGTTAAACACGATCGATTCGCCGATGAATGTCATTAAAAATGAATATACACTGAGGTAAGAATTTATTTTAAAAAAATTAATATTTAATAACGCTTTATTTTTAGGTGCAAATGCCCATCAGAATATGTTCCACATTATCACGCTTCTCAATGTAAATGTGTTTGTGTCGAAGGAAACGTCGATTGTGATCGAATGAGGAAAGGAAAAGAGTATATTTCATTGACAGATAGAATGTAAGAATATATTATATATTTTTATATACAGGGTGTACAAAAAGTATGGAATAATGGTTCTACAGCCTAAACTTCAACTTATATTAAATAAAAGTTACTTGAAACTATTTTCCGCATATCTTGGCGTAACACCCTGTATATTTTAAGGTTTTTGGATTCCTTTTGACAAGGTGTTGCAAAATGTAATTGTTGGTTTTAATTGTTTGGTTTTAATGCTTTAAACTGCATAGTTTTCGAGATATTGAAACTTTTATTTAAAAAGATTTGACGTAGCGACAACCAAATTATGGCGTCATTATGGAATAGACAACCTAAGCCTTGACGTCACAGGGATGGGCGGAGCTTATACCGACTCCAAACATCTTCGTTGCTAACTGTGTTGTTAACGAAAAATCCCCATATGCAATTTTTCAATAGTCAAGGCTTAGGTTGTCTATAGACTGCCTAAGTCTGACGTCACAGAGGTGGGCGGAGTTTATTCTGTTTTCTGTTGTGTTATTTTTCTGTCAAAAAATGTCATTTGAAATGTCATCACTTAGTTTATTTTATTTGAACACTAATGGAAAATTGCATATGGTGATTTACCGTTAGCAACGAAAATGTTTGGAGTCAGTATAAGCTCCGCCCATCTCTGTGACGTCAAGGCTTAGGTTGTCTATTGGTTACGAAAATGTTTGGAATCGGTATAAGCTCCGTCCATCTCTATGACGTCAAGGCTTAGGTTGTCTATTAATGTTAAAATAAAATAAACTAAGTGACATTTTAAATGATATTTTTATGGCGATTTATCTTAGCAACTGTGGTTAGCAACGAAATTGTTTGGAGTCGGTATAAGCTCCGCCCACCTCTGTGACGTCAGACTTAGGCAGTCTATTGAAAAATTGTATATGGAGATTTTTCGTTAGCAACGAAGATGTTTGAAGTCGGTATAAGCTCCGCCCATCCCTGTGACGTCAAGGCTTAGGTTGTGTATTCCATAATGACGCCATAATTTGGTTGTCGCTACGTCAAATCTTTTTAAATAAAAGCTTCATATCTCGAAAACTATGCAGATTAAAGCATTAAAACCTTTTGGCATTTTGCAACACCTTGTCAAAAAGAATCCAAAAACCTTAAAATATACAGGGTGTTCCATTTAAAAAACACACTCACGTTGTCCTAACTCAGACTGCCGTCATCATTTTTATTTTATTTCTACGCCAAGATATGTGGAAAATAGTTTCAAGTAACTTTTATTTAAAACTTTTTTGAATATAAGTTGAAGTTTAGGCTGTAGAACCATTATTCCATACTTGTTGTACACCTGTATAATATCTTTTATCCACAATCACCTTATAATTGAAGTTTTATCCACACTTATGAACCGTATAAAGTACCACTTTATCCACTAGTGGAATAGTTACTTTATTCCACTAGTGGAATAATGAAAAATACAATCTAAATTAATCACATCCTATTTATTATTTATTTTAACATTAACATTTATATTAATAGACATTTCATTCTTTGATTTGTCATATTTTACTTCCTTTCCAGTAATAACCAGCTTGTAATTGTCATCGTTTCCAGAACGCATACTGCCTGTCGAAGTTTTTGAAAAATATGTAGAAACAATGGACGTTTCCTCTAGTAAGGAACGACTAGTACCAGTAGAACCTTGGATTTTTCTTGCGATATCAAGCTTATTACATCCCATAGAATCCTCGATATAAGTTTCTGCTATGTCAGAGATCCTCCACCACCCACCATGTCGTTTAATTATTGTACCTTTATTGGCCAGTAAAGTTGTTGAAGTACGCCTCATACAATGACCGCTGTAAGCTTTTGCATTTTCCAGATTCATAAACGAAGCAACTGTTGAAGGAACTTTCGACAAAGTGTTAATTCCAACAGGTTGTGAAGTACATTTTTGATTAACGTATTTTAAAAAGAATCTCTAATTGGATAACTTCTTCGGACGTAAAGACATGTATTTTCTACACGTCTCTACAGTATTGATAGAGAATCCTTTTTCTATAATTGTAAATTTTCGTGAAATACCTGTCTTGGTATCTGGTATCGAAACAATGAAATATGCGCCCCTATCTTCTACATCACTAATTTTCAAATTAGTCAGTTCACAGCATCGACAAGCACCAGACACCCCCATTATTAGTACAACCTAATATATTTCAAAATTTGTTATATATAATATTCAAAAGGTTAAGAGAGATTACCTTGATCATCAAATATTCTTTATCGCAAGCCCTTGTCAAAAACTCTTCGACGTGTGTTCTTTCCAATACTGCAGATTTCTTCGTCTTGTATCCTTTTGACTGATTCTTCAAATAGGCCATGAGTTTACTATATTTTCCTATGTCTACGTTTTTATAGACCTTTATAGCGGCTTTCAGCATCGAATACTTCGACCACATGAATGAATTGCTCTTCAAATTTAAGAAATACGATAGCAAGACTTCCTCATTTATTGTTATTACCCCCCGTTTTTCTTTTCATTCATTTAACTAGAAAAATACTTTTTCGTAATGTTCCCTGGACTTTGCAAGCAATAATTGAACAGCTTCCTCAAGAATTATCTTGGGAACATTCTTCCATTTTTTCACCAACTTTATCTTTAAAACTTTCACACTTTTACAAATATGTTACAAATGGAGTCGATAAACAATCGAAAATAAATAGCAACAATTCAACACCTCCCAATGCTTTTTTAGTTAATTGCCATGATTTTTGAGATGACAGCCGCTGTCAGAGTGAAATGTCAAATCATTTTTTTAATAACATTAGATGAAATTTTGGCGATTCTGATTCTAAATGAGTGTGATTGTGGATAAAACGTTGTATTGTATACGTGTTTTAGATGCATTTTATTCACTAAGAAAACTAAAACACTAATACTTTACAACATAATAGATATAAACAAATTCATCCCTCGCCTTTCTCCTTTGTATTTCCTCTTTCTTGTTGCCATACTCCTCCATCCCAGTCTTAAACTCCCTCCAATACTCTCCCAAAATCTTAAAGTCGCAATTTGTTTCAACAAAATCTTCGTCTCCCAATTCCAACCTAACTCCGCTTGCGGGCGAAGCGCTAAAATGCTCCAAAGATGAATTTATGTATGACCCAACCTAACACAGCACCAACCCAACCCAACCAAACCCACTTAACCTAACTCACCGCCTCGCCCGCAAGCGACCTTAGACGATATTAAGCGATATTAGACGATATCGTTCATTTGATGCCTCGCAAAGTGAACCAAACGTGGTGCAACACTTGGATAAATCATCGTGAGTGCTACAATGCTCCAAAATTGACGAGTTAATAATAATGATAATAGTAATGCCTTTTATTGAATTAAATAAACTTAATTACAATGTATAAATAAAATATGTAAGGCGGGGTCCAAATGGCACATCAAAAATGTGCCCCTGCTCACACCCAACCCACTAACATAAATTTTATTACAAAGCAAAACGTAAGATAGCGAGCAATGTCACGGCAAGCGAGAATAGTTAAGGTAAAAGGTAAAATAAAGTAAAAGATGGCACATCAGTATACAAAAAAAAAAAATAAATAAAATAAAAGAAAAAACTATTGATCTCTCATTAGCAAGTTGACAACGGTAGACTTAAAGGCTCTGAGAGATAACATCTTTAGGTCATCAGGCAAATCGTTGTAAAGTACACAAATCTGGCACGTGAATGATCTTCTAAATAGTGACAACTTATACTTAGGAGGAGAAATTCTACCTCTGAACCTCGTATTCAGATTGTGCACATCACAACGATATCTTATTTTGTTTGTTAGGTAGGAAGGCTTCCCACTGGTCAAAAATGTATAATAGAGACAGAGCGTTATGAATTTACGTCTGTTGAACATATTTAACCATACTTTACTACTTAAGCATACTTTCGAATACCGTATACAAACCTCAAACAAGAATTCTGCACTCTTTGAATGCGTGGAGTGTTAATACTATCAATTGAGGCATGGTAAAGCGGAGCGCAGTAGGCAAAATGAGATAAAACCAGCGAATCACACTGCTGCTTCTTTAGTGTTAAGGACAAAGAGCGACGATAAGGGTATAATGCTCTACGCATAAGTAATGAAATCTGCTTTTTGTATCTAAAAAAGTTATCTATGATAACCCCCAAGTTTTTTACACTTTGACTTATCGGAATAGTAACATTATTAATACTTATTGTAAACTGTGGGGTAAGCGATTTGATCAATTGCTTGAGACTTAGAAGGATTCAAGTAGAGATTATACCTTAGTGTTAATTGATATAATTGATTTAAGTCACTATTTAGGTTCTGGAGAGCTGTTTGCCAGTCGTCCAGTGCAAAAGACGCATACAGCTGGGTATCATTAGCGTACATAACAGCGAATTAATGTTGATGCCTCGCAAAGTGAACCAAACGTCGCTTGTGGGTGAGGCTCTAAAATGTTCCAAAGCTGACGAATTCGGATTGATGTATCAAACCCAGCGCCTCGCCCGCAAGCGACCTCGGCGATATTAGATGATATCGTTCATTTGAAATGTCTCTAGAATGTTCCGAAGCTGATAAATTCATGTTAATGTATCATACTCCTCACCAATCTATTCGATCTACGTTTTTTCAATATTTACATCCAAATGCTCCCCCTCAATGTATATCTTCATCGAGCACATTATTCCTTTTAACTCTTTAGCCTCTATTCCGCGAATAAATTCGGGCTTAATGAGCATATATGTTTTTAATTTTGTTTTATTCAAATTTTTTTTAGATGCATTAACAAAGATCAATGTACAAAACCAACTTGTGAATATGGAAATTATTTAAATGATGTTGGAAGATGTCCGAAGAAACAAGAAAAATAAGTTTAAAAAAACTGTCTTAGTGTCAGTGTAGTCAATGTGCTTTAAGAAAATATTTATATTGAAAGAAAGTAGAGACTTATTAAAAAAAAATAATTAAAAAGAACATATTAAAATGTTTAAAACGTTCTAAAACAAATAAATTTAAGTGATAATGTACCGATCTGATTAAATAGTAAATTATATTATATTGTTAGAGAGTAGATATCAAAAAACGGAAATAAAAAATTAATGCAAGTTTGCAGTTAAGTAAACCTGTGCAATTATTAATCCAAGAATTTAAAATGGTAAACGAAATCGCACATAAGACTTAATAACTTTGTAAATAGGTTGAAATGAATTAAATAGTATTCGTTCGCTCGTCATTAGATTCAACCAAATAGATGTTTCCTTAAAAAAAAAATCGTATTCATTTAGATTCAATCAAAAAAAACGGGTTCGAATTATATTCAAAACATTTATGTTAAATTCCATAAATGTTACAAAATAAATGATGAGAAAACTAAAATAATGTTAAGAAAAAACTAGTCCGCCTTGTTTAATTATCTTATTACTTAGAAAATAACGTAATTTTTAATTTTTTGGTATTATAATTTTTTTGTAAACGTACCATTTATTAATTGTAGAATGTAAATATTTCTATTAGCAAAATAAATTAATATAAAATTTAAAATAAATTAAACTTATAATTAAAATCAAAATTAAAATTCCCTCGTTTTTGGTTGAGCCTAAAATAAACGGAGGTATGTAAGTGTCGTTTTCACTCGGTCTTATATCTCCACATAAATGACTATAATTTTCATTCATTTTCATATTTTCGTTTTTTGAGCAAGCGGCGCCTTTACTAAACACCGACTTTCCCTGCACATTTCCACCTGGGCTATAATTACAAACAATACTTAAACCAATAAAACGACTCGCCGAAAACATTGTTCGACCACAACCGATTAAATAATTATTACTCCAAACCAGTTGTGTAAAATATTCATATCTTTCCGATCTAAAATTCAAATTAATTTAATTTAATTAAAATAATTTAAACAAAAATTAACATCACCCTTCCGTTTTATACCGAGTAAGAGTACCAAGTGAAATATTTCTTATTTGTTCATACCAAGACATAACAGCTAGAGTTATATATTTTTTATCACTCCAATCGATTGAATGATCTTCTGATGCAAAAGCCCAATGACTTTGCCCGTTGTAAGTGCTTAATTCGGTTGCTCTGCATTTATCACGACCTAATTTAGGAATTGGGCTTTCTTTACATTGATTAGCCCAACATGATGCTAAAAATTCCAACTCTTTATCATAACTCTAACAAAAAAATTAATCAAAAAGAATAAATCGAATTAAGACGAAAAATACCATCACATTCATATCAGAAGCTTGAGATCTTCCGATTCTCTGTTCGCCACCGGAAGCAATTAAATTTCGATAAGAATTGTGTAAATGTAACATTAAAGCTTTATCGGATTCGCTAAAAGGGATTCGTTGGTGTTTAACCCCACAAGTGTAACTTGGAAAACACGGCTAAAAACATTAAAACAATCAATTTCGATTTGAAATAATAAAATTAACCCACGTAATAGCTACAAGCAACATTTTCTTCATAATACCCCGCTTCCGAGTTGTAACATTTTTGATTACAATAATATTGGTATTGCTCTGGGATTATTCGTCCGGTATCTTGAGGTGGATGATGTGCACGAATGTAAGATAAAAATAGTAACATTAGGAAAGAAAAAAGTGACATTTTGATTAATTTTTCGTTTATGGTTATAAATCAAAATTTATCAAAATTGACGGTGAAAATGTCTTATGGGAAGATAAAATCTCGCAGAAAAGAGATTTGTTATAGGAAAAAATAATTTGTTGCTTTTTTTTTGGTATTATTTCTCGTTAATAAGTTATAATCGAGTGGTGTTTCTACAATTTGAAGAAAAAAAGGTAAGATACATTTATTTTTCTTTAATTAACCTTACAGCACACGTATTGGATGATTTTTGCTTTAAAGTCCTGTTGAGTTGGTAAAACTGCTTAAGGAAATATTATTCTGAATCAAAAATGTTTTGCCTCTTTTAATTTTTGAGTTATCACCTATTATAGAGTTAAAAATGTAAAAAAGAAGTATTTTTGTTTTTACGTTGAGTTGGGTTAGTTCAACTGTTGGATGAGCAATAAATTTGAGTTGGTAATCTTTTCTAGATTAATTAAGAACACTTTTAGTACAAAAAGCTTTCTCCACCTCCTTTAATTTTCGATATATATCCCCAAATCCATTAAGAAAGTGTAAAATTGGATAATTTTTGCTTTAAAGTCCTGTTGAGTTGGTAAAACTGCTTAAGGAAATATTATTTTGAATCAAAAATGTTTTCTGGGTTAATAAGGAATGTTTTTGTTCCCTAAACCTTTTTCTGTCTCTTTTAATTTTTGAGTTATCACCTATTATAGAGTTAAAAATGAGGGATTTTTGTTTTTGCGGTGAGTTAGGTTGGTTCATCTGTTAGATGAGCGATAAAATTGAGTTGGAACTCTTTTCTAGATTAATTAGGAACATTTTTAGTTCAAAAAGATTTCTCCACCTCCTTTAATTTTCGATATATATCCCCAAATCCATTAAGAATGTGTAAAATTGGATCATTTTTGCTTTTAAGCCCTATTGAGTTGGTAAAACTGCTTAAGGAAATGTTATTCTGAATCAAAAATGTTTTCTGGGTTAATAAGGAATGTTTTTGTTCCCTAAACCTTTTTTCTATCTCTTTTAATTTTTGAGTTATCACCTATTATAAAGTTAAAAATGTAAAAATTAAGGATTTTTGTTTTTGCGTTAAGTTGGGTTGGTTCAACTGTTCGTTGAGCGATAAATTTGAGTTGGAACTCTGTTCTAGATTAATTAGGAACATTTTTAGTGAAAAAAGCTTTCTCCACCTTCTGTAATTTTCGATATATATCCCCAAATCCATTAATAAAGCGTAAAATTGGAGCATTTTTGCTTTAAAGTCCTGTTGAGTTGGTAAAACTGCTTAAGGTAATATTATTCTGAATCAAAAATGTTTTCTGGGTTAATAAGCAATGTTTTTGTTCCCTAAACCTTTTTTCTATCTCTTTTAATTTTTGAGTTATCACCTATTATAGAGTTAAAAATGTAAAAAAGAAGATTTTTTGTTTTTGCGTTGAGTTGGGTTGGTTCAACTGTTCGATGAGCGATAAATTTGAGTTAGAACTCTTTTCTAGATTAATTAGGAACATTTTTAGTACAAAAAGATTTCTCCACCTCCTTTAATTTTCGAGATATATCCCCAAATTCATTAAGAAAGTGTAAAATTGGATCATTTTTGCTTTAAAGTCCTATTGAGTTGGTAAAGCTGCTTAAGGAAATATTATTCTGAATCAAAAAAATTTTCTGGGTTAATAAGGAATGTTTTTGTTCCCTAAACCTTTTTTCTATCTCTTTTAATTTTTGAGTTATCACCTATTATAGAGTTAAAAATGTAAAAATAAGGGATTTTTGTTTTTGCGAAACATTTTTAGTACAAAAAGCTTCCTCTCAAAAGGCTTAATTTTGAGTTGAGGCACTAATTATTAATTTTATTATTTATTTATCACAGTAGTATAATAACCTTAATAATAGATGATACAACAAAATTAGTAAACAATAAAGTACCTTTTCTTATATATACGTATTCTTATATACAAAGAGTATGAATAAAATTAGAAAACGAAACGCTTTTTAAAAAATCTTCCCCTAAAAGTACCCAATGTTTAGTTTATTATTGTTGGACGTTATTTTGTTGGCCATCCAATAAACGATTCTCCTCCTCCCTCGTTGTCCATGCTCTATTACACGTGATATAAATTCCTGCTAAAGCTCCCAATAAAGCAATACCAACCAATGCTCCCCCAGTGTAAAGCATCACTGAAGGGAGTGTAAGTAACATTTTTGCTTCTTTTGCTAAAGGTTTTGATAACAAAGCTGTTTGAGTGAAATAAACCATGGGCATAAAGGTTTTTTTCACCTTTTTAAACATCCTTAACAAAAAAAATTAATTTCCAATAAATAATTTTTGAGATAGACTTACGAAATTCCACTTATTGGTTGTATTAGAAGATTTAATTGTAACGCCGCTCTAGCTTCTAATGGCACTCCCGTATTTGGCTCTAAAATTATATAAAATTCGTGCGCTGTTTTGTTTGGGTGCATTCCATCCACTGAATTTGCATAAAATGGATCTGCTAAGTAAAAATGTGGATATGAAACGAAAGCTGGAGCTCCAAATCTATATAAAAAACATAAACACTTTTTGAATATATTTGAAAATTAATGAACATTTCTTAGACTTACTTGCATTTTGATATATCTCTGACGCCACTTGGATAGGTTTGATCTGTAATAAAGCATTTTTGTTCTGGATATTTAGTACCATTATCAAAATCAAAATCCGTAGCGGCATATTTTTTACCGCGAATTCCAAAAAATTCTTTATATGAGTCTTGAAATTGTAATCTAACAGAGCTAAATTAAAAAAAAAATTAGTTAAACAAATTTTGAAATAAAATTATTAATTACCTGCAAAGATCTGGTGCAAAAATATCGACTAAATCGTATTTTTCCACCGGAGGCCATAATTCTCCTGATGTACCATTAACGAAAGCGCAATAATCGTTAAAATATGGACTATACGGTTTTCCATTCCATTCGTTTATAATTCCCAATAATTCAATGTCATTTGAGCCGGTGAACATTGTAAAATTTCCATCGTAAGTTTCCGAATTATTTCTCTACATAATTTTATTTATTATTTTCAAAAATATTGAAATAAATCAAATTTCTTACCCCAAAAAACCATCCAAAACGATCACTAGTGACTGAACTAAAAATTGGCAAATTCAACGATGCTATCAATTCTAACAGGCTATCTTTATAACCTGTAAACAACCACTCATCCACTGTTTTGGTTAAAATTAATGATTTCTCTTTCAGTCCTAATAAAAAACTTAATATTTTTTTAACTGGGTAACCTTGTTTTCTTACTAAATAACTTGCAGCCTTAAAAAAATCAATAAAAGTTAATACTCAATATGGTAAAACCTCGATATAACGCAGAGGTTCTCAAACTAATTTCTTGTACCTTGAGAATCAAATATTTATCAATAAAACGCAACTTTGGAAACATTATTTAGCAAAACAATTTTAGGAGAAAATGTTAAGAGACAAAAAGTTGCGTACTGAATCCCTCTATTTAAATCAAATTTTTAAATAGAAAAATGTAGACGCATTAAAAAGTTCTGATGCAAAGATTTTTCAGCACCTTGTCCTCAGACGCACGGCTAAACCCAAATGTAAACCCGAAAATGTAAGGTTTGTTTCAATATCTTTTTTCTCAATATTTTTCCAATCCAACCCAACAATTATTATACATCATTTCAAAGAGAAAGCTTTGAGCTTTAATTTAGAACAAGTCTCATTCCTTTATTTCAATAATTACGGCTTCCAGGAATTTTTAAATTAGCATCTTTTTTGACACTTTTAGGTTATACGAAAATGTAAGTTTTGTTTCAACATCTTTTTTCTCAATATTTTTCCAATCCAACCCAACAATTATTATACATCATTTTAAAGAGAAAGCTTTGAGCTTTAATTTAGAATAAGTCTCATTCCTTAATTTCAATAAATACGGCTTCCAGGAATTTTTAAATTAGCATCTTTTTTGACACTTTTAGGTTATACGAAAATGTAAGTTTTGTTTCAACATTTTTTTTCTCAATATTTTTCCAATCCAACCCAACAATTATTATACATCATTTTAAAGAGAAAGCTTTGAGCTTTAATTTAGAATAAGTCTCATTCCTTAATTTCAATAAATACGGCTTCCAGGAATTTTTAAATTAGCATCTTTTTTGACACTTTTAGGTTATACGAAAATGTAAGTTTTGTTTCAACATTTTTTTTCTCAATATTTTTCCAATCCAACCCAACAATTATTATACATCATTTTAAAGAGAAAGCTTTGAGCTTTAATTTAGAATAAGTCTCATTCCTTAATTTCAATAAATACGGCTTCCAGGAATTTTTAAATTAGCATCTTTTTTGACACTTTTAGGTTATACGAAAATGTAAGTTTTGTTTCAACATTTTTTTTCTCAATATTTTTCCAATCCAACCCAACAATTATTATACATTATTTTAAAGAGAAAGCTTTGAGCTTTAATTTAGAACAAGTCTCATCCCTTAATTTCAATAAATACGGTTTTCGGGAATTTTTAAATTAGCATCTTTTTTGACACTTTTAGGTTATACGAAAATGTAAGTTTGTTTCAACATTTTTTTTCTCAATATTTTTCCAATCCAACCCAACAATTATTATACATCATTTTAAAAAGAAAGCTTTGAGCTTTAATTTAAAATAAGTTTCATTCCTTAATTTCAATAAACACGCCTTCCAGGAATTTGTAAATTAACATCTTTTTTGACACTTTTAGGTTATACGAAAATGTAAGTTTTGTTTAGTATACCTCATATACTATTTTATAACGGTTGGAACACTCATAACAGGTATTTAGAACTGTTACTTTTTAGGAACAGGAAGATATTGTACCTGTTTCACAAAATAATAGTTTATAACATCTCTAGTAGGTACGCTTTGGTTTTTATTATGTTTAAACAAATAAATAATTAAATTCGTAACTACAGTTTACTTAAAATTCTCTCTGGTTTCAAAAACTCCCGCCAAAAATAGCTTTGAAAAATTACACTGTGTAAATAAAAACAATTTTTTCCCCTAACTTTAGAGTGCTGTAACATGGTGATGAAGGGGTTTTGAATAAAAAGTTATAATATGAAAGACCCCTTTAATTTTTGCTGAAAAATCACTCCTTGAAATCTTTCGCATCAATTTAGAAACAGCCTGTATAATAGCTCGATTTTGATTTTAATTTTTATACTTTAATTAAAATATTATAGTATACCTTTGGGTACATTTTAGGACCCCCAATAGGGCTGNAGCATCTTTTTTGACACTTTTAGGTTATACGAAAATGTAAGTTTTGTTTCAACATTCTTTTTCTCAATATTTTTCCAATCCAACCCGACGATTATTATATATCATTCTAAAGAGAAAGCTTTGAGCTTTAATTTAAAATAAGTTTCATTCCTTAATTTCAATTAACACGGCTTCCAGGAATTTGTAAATTAACATCTTTTTTGACACTCATATACTATTTTATAACGGTTGGAACAGTTATAACAGGTATTTGGAACTGTTACTTTTTAGGAACAGGAAGATATTGTACCTGTTCCGCAAAATACTAGTTTATAACATCTCTAGTAGGTACGCTTTGGTTTTTATTATGTTTAAACAAATAAGTAATTAAATTCGTAACTACAGTTTACTTAAAATTCTCTCTGGTTTCAAAAACTCCCGCCAAAAATAGCTTTGAAAAATTACACTGTGTAAATAAAAACAATTTTTCTCCTAACTTTAGAGTACTGTAACTCGGTGGGGAAGAGGTTTTGAACAAAAACTTATATGAAAGACTCTCCTTAATTTTTGCTGAAAAATCAGTCCTTGAAATCTTTAGCATCAATTTAGAAACACCTGTATAATAGCTCGATTTTGATTTTAGTTTTTATACTTTAATTAAAATATTATAGTATACCTTTGGGTACATTTTAGGACCCCCAATAGGACTGTTACAATTTTTTTTATTGGCTATTCGATAGTTTAGCAAAATTGAAGACTTTTATCTTCAATTTCTTAGATAGGAGAATTTGGGACTGAATGTATGTCGAAATCCCACCGTAAGATGGCATTAGCGTCTATACTGAAATAATTTAATTAAACTAACAATTTTATTATTAACAGTGGGAATGATGAGAGACAGCAATAACAATTATTACCAGTATCATTCTTCTCATTTAAAAAGTATAGATTCCAATTCGTGTTATATTTTCAAATTTGTCGCTAACTTCAACTTTTAAAAAGTTAAAGTTTGTTCAGAATGACAGATGAAAACGTCATTTTAAAGCGATTTTTTGGTAAGAGTATAATAAAGTAATAATGGTATGATTAAATAATTAGATTATAATTGACATTATAGCTTTGTTTCAGCTAACGTTAGATGCTGTTAGATGCAATCTCAAATGTCATATGATGCCCTGACATTCAAATGTGGCGGCATCATTTGACAGGTATTCGAGCCAAAATGGCGGTTTGACAGCTTGTCAGTACAAAAAGTGCAAGTGTAATAATGCCGTCTTGTTGCCTTTAGAGTAGCAAAAATAGCAGTATGAAGGGCTTTCGATTCTTCAAACTACCACGAGAAAAAAGAAAGGAAATTTGGTGTCATTTTATCAACAGAACGATACAATTTTAAATTTCCCGCTGACTTTCAAGCCAAAATGGCGGCAAACCGCGGTACTTTGATAATCTAGGTACTTTACTTTGAGTAAGACTGTGTTATATCTGAGGTTGAATCAAAATTGAAATAATTTACTTACCACTGCAACAACATTTACATTAGTAACTTTATCACTTAAATTACCATTACTCAATTCGGGTATAAACTTCCAAATCCTCTTCTGATAATAAATAACACTCTGATTGTCGTTAATCCAAGTTAAATTCGTTCGAATGTGGTGTTCACTAAACACGTAAGGTCCCAATTCTTCAAATCGAGGCTTTATTGACCAATTATTATCGATGACTTCTTCAGCATTACTCCAATTGAACAAAAACACGTTCAGATACATAGGTACAGGTGTTTCTTGCCACATTTTATAACCCGTTGAGTCGTTTGTGATTGTCAATTCACGTACAAGAATTTTATTATAAACCGTAGACCACAAAGACATCGAAAGGATGCCTATTGTTAAAAATAAAAAGACTAGGGTGGTTAAAATTATGACGTTTTTGTGTTTGCAGCAGCCCATTGTGAGGAAAACTAGATAAAGATTGAAATTACGGTTATTATTGGATTTGAGATAAGAAGTTGATCAAAATATTATGCTAAAGGAAGTAATTATGCGTTTAGGAATAAATTTGAAGGAGAAGTGGTTTGATATGTTATTTTTTAATGTATAATCTGTTTTATCATTGCAATGAATCATAATGATTATTTTTATTGAAAAGAGATAAAAGAGGCATCATTAAGGACTTTGGATTAAATATAAAGAGGAAAAAAACAAAGAGATGAGTTGTTTGTTTAAAATTAGGAATTTACTAAGAGGTCAATTATTTATAACAATTTCTTACCGTTTCTAAAAAAATAATATGTTGTTAGTTTAAAACAATTTTTTGGAAAGTTTTAAACGAATTCTGCGACGTAGTTTGATCGTCATTCAACTTCACTTAAAAATACTGACCATTTGGTATAAAAACTGGTTTGTAATTCACAATAATTCCGATTTCCCCACATTTGCTTTGTTGGTCATCGATCCAAATCAAATTTTTCGCCTTTTTTAGGTTAGTTTTAAGTCCAAAACTTACATAAGCAAGATTTATGCTTACGATTTCTTTCTATTAAGTACAAACAATAACAAATTATTTAAAAAAGAACTTTATATGACTAATTCTTTAGTTAAATCGGCAACAAACAAATAGAACAATAATTTAACAATGACTAATGACAGCTTTTCTAACCTCACTTTTATTTTTTTTATTTTTTAGGTTAAACATTTTTTAAGATAATATATTATTTAGAATATGAGCAGCGGAAAAATTATACGATTAAAACTAATTCCAGCAAGTGGTAAAAATGTTGGAACGATTTTTTGGTTTCATGGATCAGGTATAGTTTATATCCCAATTTGTATTACTTATGTGACTCCTTTATACTAATAAATAAGGGACCCCTCATGAATTAAGCACGATTTTCTTTAATAGGTGATTCAGGTGATGGTTTTTATGAATGGATAAAATTTTTTATGGGAAATTTTTCTTTCCCCCATTTAAAATGTATGTTCCCCACAGCCCCAATCAGATATTATACTCCAAGTAATGGTGCAGTAAGTTTAAAAGACACAAACAATTCAATTTAATTAAAATTAAAACTTCCTCTTTTTTGTGAAGCCTCAAAGCGTATGGTTTGATCGAAAAGATATTCTTCCCACCGTTGACGAAGATTTAGAAACTTTAAATGATATCAGTTATGAAATAAATTCATTAATTGATCAAGAATTAAGTGTGGGAATCCCTCTCAATAAGATTATTGTTGGTGGATTTTCTATGGGGGGATGTTTGGCGTTACATACGGCGTTTAGGACTACACCTGGTTTAGGAGGAGTATTTTCAATGTCTTCTTTTCTCAATAATAACTCAATAGTTTATGAAGCAATAAGAGATCATCCTGAAAAAGTTATTAATACTCCTTTAATTATGTTTCATGGCGGAAGTGATCAATTGGTTGAATTAGAATGGGGTAAAGACACTTTCAAAGAATTAACTAAGCTGGGTGTCAAAGGAACATTTCAAGTTATACCAAATACGTTTCACGAGTTAAAAAAGGATCAACTTATTGACCTGTTTAAATGGATTAATAAAATTATACCACCACCGAAAGAGGAAATTTAAAGAAATCTTAATAAAATATGTTTTTTTGTTTAAATTTATCTATTATTTATTAAATAATTAATACAATTATGAACGAAATGCTAAAAATATTTGTTATAATTTTGGATATATAGGCAACCAATTTAACATTATACTTTCAAATACAATTTTGAATTAAATTTACTCATATATTTTAAAGAAATGTTTATAAAACCGCTTTTTGTCGTATTCAAGTAATTAAATCAATAAAGTGAAATAACTTATTAATCAAAAAATTATTTTTGACTGATAACATAACCTAATTTCATTTCACAACACAACAAATCAAGATGATCTAGGTGGAATAAAAAAACTACTCAAAATAAATCAGATATAATTCAAAAAAACCTTTTAAAAGATGCCCGATAAGATGATGGGTCAATGTAAAAAAGCAGAGAAGCAAAAACTGCCTCAAAAAAAGATCCCTATGGCTAAAGAACATGTTGTTTATAATTAGGAAATTACTAAGAGGTCAATTATTACAAAGAGATTATTTATAACAATTTCTTACCGTTTTTATGAAAATAATTTGTTTAAAACAACTTTTTGGAAAGTTTGCTTTGTTGGTCATGGATCTAAATCAAATTTTTCACTTTTTTTAGGTTAGTTTTAAGTCCAAATCTTACATAAGCAAGATTTGTGCTTATGATTTCTTTCTATCAAGTACAAACAATAACAAATTATTTAAAAACGAACTTTATATGACTAATTCTTTATTTAAATGGGTAACAAACAAATAGAACAATAATTTAACAATGACAGCTTTTCTAACCTCACTTTTATTTTTTCCTTTTTAGATTAAACGTTTTTTAAGATAATAATATTATTTAGAATATGAGCAGCGGAAAAATTGTACGATTAAAACTAATTCCAGCAAGTGGTAAAAATGTTGGAACGATTTTTTGGTTTCATGGGTCAGGTATAGTTTATGTTTATATCCGAATTTGTATTACTTATTGCACTTGTGACTCCTTTATACTAATAAATAAGACACTTCCTATGAATTAAGCACGATTTTCAAACTTTCTTTAATAGGTGATTCAGGTGATGGTTTTTATGAATGGATAAAATTTTTTATGGGAAATTTTTCTTTCCCCCATTTAAAATGTATATTCCCCACAGCCCCACTCAGATATTACACTCCAAGTAATGGTGCAGTAAGTTTAAAATACACAAATAATTCAATTTAATTAAAATTAAAACTTCCTTTTTTTGTGAAGCCTCAAAGGGTATGGTTTGATCGAAAAGATATTCTTCCCTCTGTTGATGAAGATTTAGATACTTTAAATGATATCAGTTATGAAATAAATTCATTAATTGATCAAGAATTAAACGTGGGAATCCCTCTCAATAAGATTATTGTTGGTGGATTTTCTATGGGGGGATCTTTGGCGTTACATACAGCATTCAGAACTACACCTGGCTTAGGAGGAGTATTTTCAATCTCTTCTTTTCTCAACAATAACTCAGTAGTTTATGAAGCAATAAGAGATCATCCAGAAAAAGTTATTAATACTCCTTTAATTATGTTTCATGGCGGAAATGATCGATTGGTTGAATTAGAATGGGGTAAAGACACTTTTAAAGAATTAACTAAGCTGGGTGTTAAAGGAACATTTAATGTTATACCAAATACGTTTCACGAGTTAAAAAAGAATCAACTTATTGACCTGTTTAAATGGATTAATAAGATTATACCACCACCGAAAGAAGAAATTTAAAGAAATCTTAATAAAATATGTTTTTTTTTTTAATTTATCTATTATTTATTAAATAATTAATACAATTATGAAGGAAATACTAAAAGTATTTGTTATAATTTTACGTGTATAGGCAACCAATTTAACATTATACTTTCAAATACAATTTTGGACTAAATTTACTCACATATTTAAAATAAATATTTATAAAACTCGTATTCAACTACTTAAATCAATAAATAAAGTGAAATAACTTTTATTAATCAAAAAATTATTTTTGACAGATAACATAACCTATAATTTAATTTCACAACACAACAAATCAAGATGAACCACGCGGAATAAAAAAGTACTCAAAATAAATCAGATATAATTCAAGAAAACCTTTTAAAAGATGCCCAAGAAGAAAACGGGTCAACGTAAAAAAGCAGAGAAGCAGAAACTGCGTCAAAAAGAGATCCGTACGGCTAAAGAACATGTTCAACTTGCTCAACATCCTTGTAACGCCCCAATGGAGTGCGAAAAGTGTCATAAGTAAGCGTAAAATTGATATTATTAACTTTATTGTAAATCAAATATCTTTTAGGAAGCAAAAAAATCGCGCTTTTTGTTATTTTTGTCAAAGCGTTCAACGTTTACCCCAATGCGCTCAATGTGGAAAAATCAAGTGTATGTTAAAAACCGGAGACTGCGTAATTAAACACCCTGGAGTTTATACCACCGGTTTAGCCATGGTAGGGGCAATTTGCGATTTTTGCGAAGCATGGGTGTGTCATGGAAGAAAATGTTTGCAATCACATGCTTGTACTTGTCCATTACAAGAGGCTCTTTGTATTGAATGCGAACGAAACGTTTGGGATCATGGGGGAAGGATTTTTAAATGTTCATTTTGTGATTCTTACCTTTGTGAAGACGATCAATTCGAACATCAAGCGTCTTGCCAAGTTTTGGAATCAGAAAATTATAAATGTAATGATTTTTATTTTTTTTTGTGAAATTATAATTTAATATTTTTTTTTAGGTCAATCCTGCAATAAACTAGGACAATACTCTTGCTTAAGATGCAAAATATGTTATTGTGAAGATCATATTAGGAGGAAAGGTTTTAAATATGAAAAAAATAAGCCAATTCCATGTCCAAAATGTTCTTATGAAACATCTCAAACTAAGGATTTGAGTATGTCTACTCGGTCTCATAAATTTGGAAGACAAGGTCAAGCTGCTTATGGCGATGAAGATGATGGAGATCAAGGGGATTATAGTTATAATCAATATCAAGGGGGTTACTCTGGTTATTCTGATAATGAAGAAGATGATGATGAGTCCTATGATGAAAGTGATGAATGTAGTGATGATGATGATGAGGAGGAGGAGGAGGATGAAGTGGAAAGTGAAGATGAACCAAAAGAAGTAAAGACTAAACAAGATAAAGATAAAAAATAGTTTTGTTTGTGTTTAGTTTTATTTATGGGAAATATGGAATAATAAAATAAAAAAATTAAAATGGAGTTATAGTATATAATTCTTTTTATTTGTATTTAACTTTCTTTTAAATTGCTTTTTTTATACAATATCATGTAATAATATAATAATTATTGACTCCTCTAAAAAGATTATTAATAGTCTGCTTATATAGATTAGGCTCTTCATTTCTCACAACCTAAACTAGTAATAAATATATTTTTTAATTTTATTGGTGGTAATATCAGGCAGGTATCCAATTTCATTTGTAGTAATATAACAAACGAGCTTTTTAAATATATCTCTAAAAACTATAGATTCAGATAATATTCCAGTATTTCTCCATTTCCTCCAACTAAATTTTGGAATCTAAAGGAATGTTTCGTTCCTTTTTTATTGTTTATGAAATCAAATAAATTATAAAATGACTAGGCTTAATTACTAACAATCTTGAGAATATAATCAAAAAATATCAACAATTCTAATCACTTATAAAGAACTACCACAGTTTAAAACGGGACTTAATCTTTTTTTTTTTTCAAATTTTTTAAGGCCATCAATAATTTAAAAAAATTGCTAAATAAAATTCGGTATAAAAATATCACTTCTATTAAGGTTGTACATTATTCGGTCTATTATAAATAAGAAAAATTGCTATTGCGTTTCATTTGGAAGATTTTCCATATCGAATAGATCTAATATTTTTTGTGTACACAATTTTGAAGCATCATATGCTTCTTTTGAAATCTGCAAGAAATAATTGTATGTATTAAGCTTTATACGGTTAATTTCACTTAAAATGCAATATACAAAAATATATTTCCATAGAAACTACTTACTTTGCCCCACATAAAATGCAACATGTCTAAATGTTTCTAGTTCTAATGTTAGTTCTAGTGACAGTGTATAATACATATACACTACATATACACATACATATACATATAAGCTTTATTATCTTATATTGCTAATGGAAGACTAGATACTGCTGCAAGAAAACTTGATTCTACTACTGGATGAGTAGATACTACTACTGGATCTCGAGATTGAGCATGCAGAAGACTACTTACTACACTCAGTGGGATTAAAAAGGTATCACCTAAAATCATGACTGGTTTCAAACTGTAATAACTTTTGAACATATTCCTTGAATAACGTTTTTTTTTATTTGGAAGGTCCACCCTTTGACAATATTTTTGTAGGCCTTCCCCATTTTGGCGCTCTTTAATTTCAACAATGGTGAATAACGCTAATGCGTGTTTTTTTCCTATACTTTGAAGCTTGCTATGAGGTGCACCGACAAAAGAAAATAATTGTAATCATAAGGGGCTTGTAGTCTCGTCTGTTCTGATTACTTCTGTTTTTTGTTCAAGTTTCTATTGTTGTTAACACCAAAGTTACAAGCTCTAAAAGATAACGCAGCTTGTTCGGCAGCGCCATCAGAAATTAAAGCATGGATGTCGATGCACCCCAGGAGCAAGCTTGAAATCGTATGAAGAAAACACGCATTAGCGTTACTCTGCATTGCTGAAATTGAAGAGCATCAAAATAGGGAACAAAAATTGAAATAAAAAAAAACCTTATTCAAATCGAGCAATACGTTCAAAAGTTATTGCAGTTTGAAACTGGTGATCATTTTAGGTGATGCGTTTTTTTATGCCGCTGAGTGAATTTGAGAAAAGCAGACACTATTGGCAGAAGTTGTACTCTTCTACCAGCATAAAAGTAAATATCGCATGCAGAAGGAGGCTGGGCAGAACTGTTGGCAGAATATTAGCTAATGGAAAACTGGCTAGAGCAGTGCTAATAGAAGTATAGATAGTACTGGTAGAAAACCAGATAGTGTTTGCAGAAGACTAGATAGTACTGGTAGAAGCTTTAAGATTAGATCTTTCTGATACAAGACTTAATACTGCATTTCGAAGAGTATCTATTGTTGGCAAAACACTAGATACTATTGGTAAAAGACCAAATATTGCTTTCAGAAGAGTAGCCATTGTTTACAGAGGGCTAGATGCTGTTGAAAAGATATTATTCGGTCTTGAGAAACGTGCGGCTAAACAGCATAACCCGTCAAAAGATCTACCACTACACCTGATCAACAGTTCAGATCTGCAGTTTTATTTGATAAAGCCAAGGACGAAGCACTGCAATATCTGTGGTAATATGATGACCAGTTTCAGATAGAATCTTGATTAACGTTAGTTTTGTTGATAAATGTTAATCATCCCTGGAAGGAATGTTGCGAAAAGTCAGGTTTCTTTTGATATGTTAATCATCCAGAGGAAAGAATGTTAGGTTCGATTTGTTTTGAACCCTAATTATAGCGTAAATTAATGTTAAGATAGATAGTTTTCTTTTGAAACTACAATTAAAGCGTGAAAAAACCCTAATTAAAGCGTTAAAGAGTGTTCAGTTTCAGGTCTGAAGATACACAGCTAAACCCGATATTTCTAGGTCTAGTGTTAGTATTGCACTACCACTAGAACTAACACAATACCTAGAACTAGAATCATTCGGGTTTAGCCGTCTTGAGAGACGTGCGGCTAAACCCGAATGTTTCTAGTTCTTGGTCTAGTGTTAGTTCTAGCTTTACACCATTACTAGAACTAACACAAGACCTAGAACTAGAATCATTCGGGTTTAGCTGTCTTGAGAGACGTGCGGCTAAACCCGAATGTTTCTAGTTCTTGGTCTAGTGTTAGTTCTGGTTTTACATCATTACTAGAACTATCACAAGACCTAGAACTAGAATAATTCGGGTTTAGCCGTCTTGAGAGACGTGCGGCTAAACCCGACTGTTTCTAGTTCTTGGTCTAGTGTTAGTTCTAGTTTTACACTAGAAGAGACTAAAAGATGCATGTCTCCTAAGACGGCCGAAAAGTCAGGATTATCATAATGACGTCACATTTTTCGAAAGAAAACTTTCTTTTACAAAACTACCCAGTGTCTGTACTAAACTTNTGCAGAAGACTACTTACTACAGTCAGCGGGATTAAAAAGGTATCACCTAAAATCATGACTGGTTTCAAACTGTAATAACTTTTGAACATATTCCTCGATTTGAATAAGGTTTTTTTTATTTGGAAGGTCTCTACCCTTTGACAATATTTCTGTAGGCCTTCCCCATTTTGGCGCACTTTAATTTCAACAATGGCGAATAACACTAATTCCTTCCTACACTTTGAAGCTTGCTATGGGGTGCACCCACAAAAGAAAATAATTTTAATCATAAGGGGCTTGTACTCTCGTCTGTTCTGATTACTTCTGTTTTTTATTCAAGTTTCTATTGTTGTTAACACCAAAGTTACAAGCTCTAAAAGATAACGCAGCTTGTTCGGCGGCGCCATCAGAAAGTAAATCATGGATGTCGATGCACCCCAGAGCAATCTTCAAACCGTATGAAGAAAACACGCATTAGCGTTATTCTGCATTGCTGAAATTGAAGAGCACCAAAATAGGGAACAAAAATTGAAATAAAAAAAAACCTTATTTTCGTTCAAAAGTTATTGCAGTTTGAAACTGATCATCATTTTAGATGATGCGTTTTTTTATGCCGCTCAGTGTATTTGAGAAAAGCAGACACTAATGGCAGAAGTTGTACTCTTCTGCTACCATCATAAAAGTAAATATCGCATGCAGAAGACTGGGCAGAACTGTTGGCAGAATATTATCTAATGGAAAACTGGCTAGAGCAGTGCTAATAGAAGTCTAGATAGTACTGGTAGAAGACCAGATAGTGTTTGCAGAAGACTAGATAGTACTGGTAGGAGTTTTAAGATTAGATTTTTCTGATACAAGACTTAATACTGCATTTCGAAGAGTATCTATTGTTGGCAAAACACTAGATACTATTGATAAAAGACCAAATATTGCTTCCAGAAGAGTACCCATTGTTTACAGAAGGCTAGATGCTGTTGAAAAGATATTATTCGGTCTTGAGAAACGTGTGGCTAAACAGCATAATCCGACAAAAGATCTACCACTACACCTGATCAACAGTTCAGATCTGCAGTTTTATTTGATAAAGCCAAGGACGAAGCACTGTAAGATCTGTGGCAATATGATGACCAATTTCAGATAGAATCTTGATTAAGGTTAGTTTTGTTGATAAATATTAATCATCCCTGGAAGGAATGTTGCGAAAACTCAGGTTCCTTTTGATATCTTAATCATGCAGGGAAAAGAATGTTAAGTTAGGTTCGTTTTGTTTTGAAACCCTAATTATAGCGTAAAGGAATATTAAGACAGGCAGTTTTCTTTTGAAACTACAATTAAAGTGTTAAAGAGTGTTCAGTTTCAGGTCTGAAGATACACAGCTAAACCCGATATTTCTAGGTCTAGTGTTAGTATTGCACTATCACTAGAACTAACACAATACCTAGAACTAGAATCATTCGGGTTTAGCTGTCTTGAGAGACGTGCGGCTAAACCCGAATGTTTCTAGTTCTTGGTCTAGTGTTAGTTCTAGTTTTACACTAGAAGAGACTAAAAGATGCATGTCTCTTAAGACGGCCGAAAAGTCAGGGTTATCATAAGGACGTCACATTTTTCCAAAGAAAACTTTTCTTTTACAAAACTACCCAGTGTCTGTACTAAACTTTTGGGCAAAATTAACGCACCACTTACATTTTTCCAGTAGTTTTTAATTAATGATAAGTTGTAATTTACTAGCTTTACTGCTAGTAGGCTATGGATATCTTATAAGTACGAAGGCTTTCACGGCCGGTGTGAATTAAACTAAGATTAGAACTAAAACTAGCTGCTCGCAGCGAGACTATGTGAAGGAGAGAACTTGAAGAAGGAACAACACTTTCTACGAGGCGTGCTGCAGAAGAATGGATACACTTCGAGGGACATCAACCAGGCCATCAAGCAGCGAAAGCAGAAAGAGGACACGGTAAGTACAAAACCACTTGGATTTATCTGTCTTCCCTATGTTTCAGGTGTAACGGAACGAATTGCTAGGCACCTCAAGAAGAACGACATCGTAGTGCGGTACGGCACGGTCAGCAAAATTCGGAACACACTCCCGATAGCCAAGGACAAACTAACTCCATTAAAAGGAGCGGGAGTCTATCGACTATCGTGTAGTTGTGGGAAGGTTTATGTTGGCCAAACTGGACGCAACGTCGAGTGCCGCATCAGGGAGCATGAGAGGGATGTAAGGCTGAAGAAGATCCAGCAGTCGGCGGTTGCGGAACATTGCCATGCCGAGGGGCACCGAATAGACTTCGAACAAACAAAGGTGCTGGCTAGGGACAACAGATACTACCAAAGACTGACAAGAGAAGCCATAGAGATTCACCGACATAAAAATAACGTCAACACAGAGGATGGCTGGGAGCTTAGCAGAACATGGAAGATGGTGGTGAACACGAAGACCTCTTCCCGCCTCACACCGGACGCGACGCAATTAGTTATTAATTAGTTTGTAATTAGCGTTAACTGATTATTAATTAGTTTTTCCGACTTATATATAGTTACCGATTTTTTGATCTCGTCACTTCGAACCAGTTTCTGAAGAAGGTTGCAACATGGCATCCGAAACGTCAAACCTTTTATTAAAAGACGCACGGTAAAACCCGAAAGTTTCTAGTGTTAGTTCTAATCTTAGTTTAATATGGATATATTGTTTTTAAGGTTATAAACCGTAGTTAAAATCGCTTTTGATTAAAACTCTCGTTTTTTTTTTCAAAAAGTTACGGTTTAGACAATTTTTGCAATTTACCAGTGCGAAAAATGAATAACAAAAGAAATTTATCGGTGGAAGAGTACGAGCATCAACTCTGCTGGATGAGGGGTTCTCGATGCGTTATGTTGCCAATGTGTTAGGAAGGAATCATTCCAGCATAAGTCGTATGATTAGACGGTTTATCAAAACTGGATCTTACATTCGAAGATCAGGGCAAAGACAAAAACGATGTACCCACCAAAGGGATGACCGTTTTCTGCGAGTATCCGCTCTTAGAAATCGGACAATCACTGGTAATATGTTAAAAAATAGTTAACTTAATAAATTAGAGGTTCATAATGTTGCAATATCGTCTCAAACAATCAGAAGACGTTTAAATGAAGCCAAATTAAAGAACAGGAGACCAGCAAACAAAAACATTATTTATCAGAGAGCACAAAGTTCAAAGATTGCGTTTTGCCCGAAATCACCAACATTGGTCTGTTAATGATTGGAAAAAGATTTTATTCTCTGACGAAACGAGGGTTAGCTTAAAATCTCCTGATGGACGTGAGCGGGTATGGCGAAGACAAGGAGAGAGATTTGCAAGTTGTAACATTGCTCCAAGGGTCCCGTTTGATGGCGGCTCTATAATATTTTGGGGAGCTATCTCGAAGCAGATAGCTCGCACAGCGTTGGTCCCTATACGTGCGAGGTCTATGAATGCGGATTATTACCTGGAAAACATCGTACTTGAACACGTAATGCCATTTGCTCCTTTTTTGGGTCCCAATTTTGTATTCATGCAAGATAATGCTCGTCCTCACGTGGCTAGACAGGTTATTGACTACTTGCATGGTGTTGATATTCAGTTCATGGATTGGCCACTTAACAGTCCCGATCTCAATCCCATAGAACACTTATGGGACTATCTTAAAAAAAAGGTCTGTGGTTGTAGAGTCCCACCTGAACCACCCCAACCACAATCAACTGGTGGATGAAGTAATTGAAGAATGGGACAATATTCCCAAGGATAAATGATTTATAATAAGGTCATGTTTCGCTGATTCCTTTTTCAACCAATTTTATGAACCCTATTTGTAAGCGTTCATTCTAATTTGATTTTATTATATTCTTAGTAATTTAATTATTTACGTTTAATAAAGTGATGCGTTAATTTTGTCCAGGAGTTTATTAAGCTATGTTGCACTTTATGTGAGACAGTGCAAATACATAGTAGTTTCGTAACTAGTTATAGAAATGTTATATGAAATTTCCTGTATATTAATTATTTATAATACTTACCATATTAAAATTTAAAAATCCATGAGGTAAACCACCCAAAACATCCAACGATACATCTACACCACATTTTTTTAATTTTCTTGCAAACATTACACAATCATCTAAGCAAGGATCCATATGAACAGTCTAAATATAAATTAAAAAAAATTAAATTATTAACCAAATAATTTAATTATTACCATTATTTTAACGGGCGGCATCTCCATCAAAATATTTTCTGGAGCATAATACGGACTAATATACATATCCTTCGGTATAGTAAACTTTAAATCGTCATATAAATTCGTTTCTTTAACCGCATCCAAATAAAGCGAAGCTCCACTACTACTCCCCAAAGACGGAACAAAACTTTCGATTCGCCCACGTAAATTGGAAACGAAAGCTGCAACCCGATTTTGCATCGCAATAGCCCCCCCATCGGTTGATACATTCGGCGTTGAAGTTTGCGACTGACTTTCAGGTACTTTTGTTAAATCCGTATCGGTATCTGAATCCAAAGCGTATTTTTCCAAAAATTCCGAAACGTATTTTTGACTAGATTGGACGTCGTTTGCACCGTTTTGTTTTTCTTCCGGTGGGGAACTCAACGAGGCGTAAGTTAATGTGTCGGAGGCATCAGAAACGGGGGATTTGTGGGCTTGAAGATCCATCAGATCCGATTCGGTGATTTCTTCGAAACTCTCCGTGTCTGAATTTCCGTTGTTAGTTTCGAGGCCGTTTATTTTGGATGGATCAGGAAGGGTGTACGCTTTTATGCAACGCATAAGAAACCCGAACGGTAATAATGGGTCCATAACGCATAATAACCGAGCCGGTGACGCTTGGAAACTTATCGAAACAGGCGCGTAAGCCATGAAAACTCCGTCTGGTTTTCGTATCCCAAGTTCTAAACATTTTAAGGTCATACTAGCGAGTAAATTCGCTCCTGCTGAGTCACCTCCGACCACAATTCGTTCACCTATTACATAATTGTGAGATATTATGACAATTATTATAAAAGAAATTTACCTGTCGATCCTAATAAATGGCATTTATTTAAAGCCCAACAATAAGCGTATAAAACTTCTTCGAGCGCTCTTGGATATGGGGCTTGAGGGGCTAAACTATAATCGATACTTAAAATGGGGATATCTATATCTTTTGCCCATTGACGAAGATAGCATTCATGAGATCTTGAAGATTGAGCGACGAATCCTCCTCCGTGACAATGCACAAATAAACCTAAAATTTATTTGTTTGAATTAAAATGTTATTTGATTAGAACGTAATAAAACAGGATGATTAGAAGATAAGGAAAAACCACAATACAAAAGACATAAATCTAATGTTAAGTCAACAACGGTAACTCCAACAAGTGTATTCTGGAATTTTCAAGATAAGAAATTGCTCAAACTTGAACTTTGTACGCATCAACTATTTAGTCTTTTATCGTTGTTTTTAATTGGAGATTAATAATAAAAATTAAAGTACATTTAAAATAAGTAAAAAAGTACATTTAAATACTTAGTTGGTGTTTCAAAGAAACTAAAACAATTTGTAAAACCTTTCTAAATTGTTTAGATAACAACAACTCAACCGTAGAAAAATGTAGAAAGTTTGCAAATATGAAAATAATTCTTTTTTTACCTCTACATGGTGGATCTAAACGATTTGTACCTTCACCAATCATTCCTTCTCTTCTCCTCCAACTAATTAATCGAACTTGAACCGCTTTTCTTCCTATAAAAATTAAGAAATTCCCAAAAAAATGTATGCTTTTTTATTTTTAATAATTTACCTATATGAGACGTAGGTACAGGTACGTTTACAATTCGACTCCCGTATTGCAAAGTTAAAGGTTCAGTGGGAATATGAATAACTTTTGAAACGCAAACACTTTGCGCGACGATCGTTGGAAGATGTTTCATCAATTCGCCTTCGGATAAGAACCAAAACGATTTACAAAAATCGATATCGGCATTTTTTGAGATATTCACAAGACGTTTCGCTTTCTCTTCCGGATCGGTTATGTATTTTGTTGTGTTTTTAAAGGAAGACGTTGCTTTTGATATTATGGAACCTTAAAATTATCGAAAATGTTTAATTTTTTTTTAATAACACAAAAAGATGCTTTGAAAATAATGCAAGATAACTATGATTTATTAGTATTTATATCAAAACATCCGCAACAATTTCTACGTAATAGGTTATCTTCTTATTTATTAATCATATAAAAGAATTTGTTTTTTTTAATTAATTAATTCAAATAGTTTGTTTTAAAAGTGGTGTTTTTACTGCTGACAAGTCGCTATGCCATTTTATCCGCACTACTTTAATATAACTTTGTAATTTAATTTTATCTAAACAAATTGTTAACAACGTTAAAAATGAATAATACATTATTTTTAACATTTAAATGAATGTAATTAAAATATTTCAAACAACAATTTTGTTGCTAATTTTCCATCGTCATCTATTACGTAAGACTACTTTAAACTAGAAAGCTTGATACTTCTTTTCTTTTGCTACCCTCAACATTTTTAGTTGATGATGTGAGTGGAGTTGGGAGTCATGATATATTCGAGCTCTTATATCTTCAACTAGTCTTTTCTGTAGATTTAACATTTTATATCTGTTATGGTCTGTAACAGTTCAAACTGTTTCAGTTTGGAATGAAAAATGATTTATAAAATGACAAGTCGTCCATTATCGACAACAAATTGCGGTCATGCAGTCCTTCACAACCTTCAAGTTAAAATTGCGAAATGTATAGAATAGTTAGTAACTGTTGTAAAGTTATTGCTGTTGAGTTCTACCTCTCATCTCTTCATAGTCTCTTTGGCCTTTGACCTCAAATACTCACAAAGAACTGCGCCGTAATTGCTACTTTCAATTTTTGTAAATTGTGACTTTTCAAAGATTCTGCATTAGTCTAAACAGTGTGGTTTTTAAGTATTTCGAGTAGTGTAATAAGTAGATTTACACATAAGGTTATTCATTAATTTCAGGATGCGCAGGAATTAGCTTATTACAAAAATATTAAGACTATAGCTATGCATACCTGCATTAGCTAGACTACATTAAACTAGAAAGTAAGGAAATATTTTCCCTTTTCTTGCAACTCCTCACTTGATACTTCTTTTCTTTTGCTACCCTCAAAATTTTTAGTTGATGATGTGAGTGGAGTTGGGAGTCATGATATATTCGAGCTCTTATATCTTCAACTAGTCTTTTCTGTAGATTTAACATTTTATATCTATTATGGTCTGTAAAGGTTTTAAGGGATGATTGTGAGATTGGGCAGACTTTATATTGCAGAACCAATCTACAGACAGAATTTTATTCCAGTTTGGAATAAAAAATGATTTATAAAATGAAAATTCGTCATCTATCGACATTAAATTTAGACTCTCAGTGTATCAGTACTGCAGCCTTCACAACCTTTAAGTTCAAATTGCGAAAGGTTTTTGCTGTTGAGTTCTCCTCTCATCTTTTCATAGTCTCTTCTGCCTTTGACCTCAAACGTTCACAAAGAACTGCGCCGTAATTGCAACTTTCTTCAATTTTTATAGATGGTTGCGATCTTTCAAAAATTCTGCATTAGTCTAAACGGTTTGCTTTTTAAGCTAAATGCTACTAAAAGAAAACTAATTAATGTTTTAATAATAGGTTAAAGAGTAAGTTTATTAAAAACTGTTCCGGTCCAAACAGCACTACTAGTGTAAATGGCGACTTTGAATTGAAATGAAGGTTGGATTTAAACACATCGCATAAAAACAAAATAGCCAATGCAAATTAATGTAATTAAAATAACAATTAATTGAGGATCAATTATTTCAATTGTTGAATAACTGTAAAAAAACTGGTTGTTTCTACAAAATGATTCAACACACAACTTTTAAAACAACCTAATGAACGTTTTTTTAACCAATTAATTTTATTAAAATGAAAAATAATTGACGTGTATTAAAACAAATCAATTTATACGTATTTTTAAAGTCTGAATCATATTTGATTAATAGTAAAACTCGATACGGAGTCATCGAGTAGGAAATAGAATCTAAGAAGGCTTCTATATCCCGGGAATGAGTGTACAGCTCGAAGGCCCGTTCGTGACGTCACGCATAAACATTAGCACTAAAACTAACTTAACACTAAACTTAGAACTAGAAACATTCAGACGCACGGCTAAACCCGAAACTTTCAAGTCCTAGGTTGGTTCTAGTTTTAATAACAACTAAAACTAGAACTAACACAAGACCTAACTAAACACTACATCTAGAACTAGAAACATTCTGGTTGAGCCAGAATGTACGTCTCTTAAGACGGCGTTATTAGTGTTAGTTTTAGTTGTTACATTGGTGTATATACACTGACCGGCAAAAAAACCGGACACTAAAATTTAGCCATAATTTTAAAGCTGGCTTTCTCGCGAACCACTAATTCGATTTTGATGATTCTTTTTTTGATCGAAATGTTGATTCTTCTGTAATAACCCTGCGATAGAAATTTTTATTCGGATATTAATTTGAGTATATACGGGTGCAGATACTACAGCAGAGGGTGTTAACTGGAATTAAACGGTAGCCCAATCTTTTCTGAACATTTTGTTTTTTTATTCACTCTATTATCTCTGTTACTAACGAAGATGCAGTGTTTTAAAGCGAACGCCTGTGAAAGCAAGACAAACAAGCATAAAAATCTAAGCTGGCGCGCTAGGTAGCATATGTCAGTTGTTTCAAATAGTAAATTGACAGTTGTTAAAGATGCCGTTGACAGTAACTGATGTTGCGCATATTGTTACTTTAATTGAGGTTGGCAAAAATCTGCGGTCGTTGCCCATACGTTGGGTATACCTCGAACTACAATTCAGGATGCCTGGAACCACTATGTGAAAACAGGAAATTTTACTAGGCGGCAAGGTTCCGGTAGAAGACGAGTGACAACAGCAGTTGATGACGGATTTATTGTTCTAAACACTCTGAGGAATCGTAGAACGACAACTGTAGAAACTCGGCATCGTCTTCAAATGGTGCGTGGGGTTGACGTAAGTGATTCGTTGAAGACTTGCTGAAAGTGATCTGACTGCAAGAAGACCTGCCAAAAGACAGCGGCTGCTCCAGAGAGCAGAGTCTTCAATTTCGGCGCGTACATATGAATTGGGGAATGGAATAATGAGGTAAAGTGCTCTTCACTGATGAGTCCCAATTTTGTCTCCAGTCACCTGATGGTCGAAAACGGGTCGAAAAGGTTTGCGAGCTGCACAATTTCGGAAAGGGTACCTTTTCATGGAGGTCATGGTATGGGCGGGTATTTCGACGGAAGCGCATACAGCGGTCATCTTTGTTGAAAATGGCACGCTAAATGCCCACCGTTATATCCAAGATATTCTGCAAGAAGCTATCATGCCCTATTCCCATTTTATTGGTGACGGATTCATGCTAATGCATGAAAATGCGCGAATATCTTGATGAGGTGGGTATTGAACGGATGGAGTGGCTAGCATACAGCCCGGCCCTATCGAACATCTTTGGGACCAACTTCAGAGACGCATTTGTCGTCGTCCTATCCTACAGGACAACCTTCAGGAGTTACGAATTGCTCTTGAAGAAAAGTTTACCGCAATTCCTCAGGAATCAATTACGAACCTAATCAGTTCGATGCCGCGTCGACTACATGACGTTATTTTATCAGAACTGAGAACAAATGTTTAAAATAATTAAGGATGTACGCAATTCTGTAATAATTCTAAGAAAATATAAGTGCTTCTACAAAACTGTTTCAGGTGCCCAGTTTTTGTTTTCAAGGTCAATGATTTAAGACGCCAGTGTTAACAAAGATTAAAAATCTGTATAGGCTTCTTTGGAAATTCCCGGCCACATCATCACAGAACCACCATCGAAACATTCGCGTGTTATAATTGTATAGTCCACAAATCTTTCATTTGAACGTCTTCATATTCGCTCCCGACCATCGGGTGATAGCAGACAAAACCAGTACTCATCCGTAAAAAGGACTTTCCTCCATTGCTCGATCTAATTCACATGTAAGCGCGCAGATTGAAGACGCGCTCGTCGATATCTTGGAAGCAGCCTCGGTCCTTTGGCAGCCTTCTTGCAGCCAGACCTGCTGCAAGAGACTTGTCTTCTAGCAAGTTTGCAGTGAATGGTTCTCTCACTGACCTCAACAACATGCACCATTTGAAGACGACGCCGAGCTTCTAGAGCTGTCGTTCTACTATTGCTAAGAACAATAAAACGGTCATCAGCCACTATTGTCTATTGTAATACATGCTCAGAAAAGATTGGGCTACTGTTTGATTCCAGGTAATACCCTCTGCTGTAGCAGCTGCCCATAGGGTGTTAAAAATTTCGAGAAAAAAAGTTCTCATTTTTCTCACCACGTATATGCTCAAATTAATATCTGAATGAAAATTTCTATCGTAGGATTGTTACAGAAGAATCAACATTTCCAGTTCGTGAGAAAGCCAGCTTTGAAGTTGTGGCTAATTTATAATGGCCAGTTTTTTTTTGCCGGTCAGTCTATTTGAAAGAACTAAAACTAGAACTAACACTAGACCTAAGACTAGAAACATTCTGGTTTAGCAGTCTTAAGAGACGTATGGCTAAACCAGAATGTTTCTAGCCCTAGGTCTAGTGTTAGTTCTAGTTTTAATTGCTATTCAGCGCTAGATTGCTGAATAACAACTAAAACTAGAACTAACATTAAATCTAGAACTAGAAACGTTCAGATTTAGCCATCTTAAGAAATGTACTGCTAAATCCCAATGTTTCTATTTCTAGATGTAGTGTTAGTTCCACTTTTAGTTCAATAAAAATATACAACAATTTAGCGCTGAATAACAATTAAAAATAGATCTACCGTCCTTGATTTATACATCATATAGAAAACTCACAGAATCCCCCAAGTTTATCCCTAAACATGGAATAGATCAACTTGAGGAATAACCCAAGTAGGATTCTATCTACTTATAAGAGGTAACATTTATATTTAAATATACTGATGTATTATTTTTGTTATATCAAAATTTTACTGTAGTTAAATGAATATGTTAATTTTGAGTTTTACCTTCACTATAATAAGCTTCAGAGAAAATGGCCATAGAAAGTGTAATAAATCTGAGTGCTCCTTTCATAGACTCACAAAATTGAAACCCCAAACATCGACCATAAAAACAATATTGATTGACCTTATCAATGTTGTATAATAAAGACGTTTCCTGATCACTATTTAAATGTTCCAAAGTAAAAAGTGATGTTTCCTCAGAGTGTTCCCTTATTATGTTTAACAAATTTAGACATGATAATAAACTAGCGAATAATTGTGCGCAAGCTTCCGCTTCTCTAAAAATTGACCCAATTAATAATAAAGGAGTTTAAAAATACGTTGGGTTTCGTCTTACTTTGTAAAATAAGCTTTTCTAAATAACACACTATCTCTTTTGACACATATTTTCTTATTCAGTTGTATCCCATAGGTAATAGCGAAATCGATGAGTTGTAAAAAGCTACGGTAACCGTTCGCGGGTGTTTTTTCATCAAAATCATATTTAGATACGACTGATTTTAAATTTAAAACTATGGGGCAAATTTCGTCGATGTTGTCCACTATTGCCAAAAATGATGTGTACAACCTTTGGCCGTTCTCCGTGGTATCATTAACAAAGTACGACGCATTATTTTTGCATAATTCAACGAGGGAATCACGAGTAATTTTATCTTCATCAATACTACTAGTGGTTGAACTGTTACTTTCCTCGAATCTTAAATCTGTCATGATCTCCATAACTTGGACCCCACACAGATTATGAACATAAAGAACGTAAGATGGGACGATTAAATTTTTTCTTCTTATTTTACCATTTTAACTTGTACCGTATAAACATAAACCCAACACTACGTTAATTTTTTTGATTTTTTGAAGTACAAACAACCCGAACGCGTTTCAATCATCAACTGATCGGTAATAAACTGTCATTGCGTTTATAAACAAATCAAATTCCAAGTGTACCAACATAAATTATTATTTAATCATATTACTTTTAATTTAATCAATATAATTCTTACAATTATTGTTAATATTTTCAAAAATTGTAATTAAAAGATTTATCAATTAGATACTATTTAATACTAAACATTTTATTTTAAAAACGTCACCATATTTAATCAATAAATTCCCTAAGAATTAAGTGTTTAGGTTAGAATCATCAAACATATTTTGAATTATATCAAAAGCCTTAAAATGACCACGTTAAGGCCGTTTACTTGTAATGATATGTATAAATTTAACATCGTGTAAGTAACCCAATTTCTAATAATTAATTACTTTAATTATAACCTCAATATTTTGCAGCAATTTAGATCCACTAACAGAAACTTATGGACTCGCGTTTTACATGCAATATCTTGCTCATTGGCCTGAATACTTCCAAGTAGCTGAATCACCAAGTGGGGAAATCATGGGATATAGTATAATCAACCAGTGAATTAATAAAAATGCGTTTAAATTGCCAAAAATTTTAGTTATGGGTAAATCAGAAGGTCCAGGTGAAAATTGGCATGGTCATGTTACAGCTTTAACAGTTTCACCTGGGTTTCGAAGGTTAGGAATTGCCGGATCACTTATGAGTTATTTAGAAGAGGTTTCTGAGAAGAAAAGGGCTTATTTTGTGGACCTTTTTGTTCGTGTTAGTAATTCGGTAGCTATAAATATGTATAAAAATTTGGGGTATATTGTTTATCGAACTGTTTTGGAATATTACTCTGGAGATCCTGATGAAGATGCTTATGGTGGGTATTTTTATTAATATCTAGATGTTCCAAAATTATCATTTTCTTTTATAGATATGAGAAAAGCTTGTTCGAGAGATGCAAATTTAAAGTCTGTTGTTCCCTTACTTCATCCTGTAAGAACAGATGAAGTTGAATGAATTGCCTTAATTTAAAAACAGTTTATAACTTAATCTTTATTAAATTAAATGATATTTAATTCAAACATTTCTTGCTATATCTCTTTAATTTGAATAAACTTAAATATTTTAAATCACCATCCCATTCTTTTAATAATTTAAATTGTCCCTCATTCATTAAATCTGGTATTTCTAAACCACCACTGTTATAATCACCAATTTCTCTTTCCAAAGTCATTTTGATGACTTCTTCACGTTTATTCACCTGGTTTTTACGACTTCCTATATTTTGCTTAGATCTAATTGCTTCTAATTCAGCATTGAAACGACTTAAATACACTTCAATTGCTTGTTTAGTTTCTTCTTTTGTGTAGACGATTTTATCAGGTAACAAATTTACTTGAAACCAAGACAATTTCTCTCCAATTAAGGTTTGTTTCATTATCGTTGAAAATTTTGAGGTGTTTCGAGCGATTTTTTTCCTTTGCTTTTTTGCCATCGATATTACTTGACGACTATTTGGATGTTTAGCAGTAAGTTGTTTATTATTCGAAGGCATTTTTAGTTGTATTGAAAAAAATGTGTAAAATATAACTTAACCTCAAAAAATCACATCCTATGAAAAACGGGATTTTTTTTTACAAAGTTGGTGTGATAAAATTTAATTATACAAAATTATTAATACAAGTTTGTACTTTTAATAAAGTACAACTTAAAATTATACTTTTTTTACTTTAAAAATATAAAATTAATTAATTTACCGATATTCCTTCGTAATGTTAGGTTGGTACGACTGATTACGATTTGAATTAAGTCATGGAAAAGTTTTTTTTTTGGGATAATAATAAAAGGTAATAAATAATTCATTTAAAACTTGAAAAAACGTGTATTTGGATATATACAATAGTCGGTATAAATAAAAAAACAAAAAGGCTTCGCATCAGATTCACTTGTTACTTCTAAACCACCGACGAATAAGAACAATACTGCCTTTTAGCCAACATTATGGTGTGGAGCATTAGGAAATGACACTTTTGGTATGTTACACTACACTGTCACTTAAGCTGGCTTAATCAGTGTGTCCCATTAACTTGTGGCGACGCGCTACGCAAGTTCTTTTGCAGGACATGAGCATCTGCAGGTTCGATTCTCTTGTAATAATGCTTTTTCGTTTCAACAATCTCAAAACCAAACTTTTTGTAGAAATCTATTGCCCCTTCATTATTCACCTGCACATGTCTATTAAAATTGATTAAAGAATGGACCTTCATAAGATCTATATTTGAGGTTATGTACTTAATATAAATATCTAAAATACTTACAAGAAGATGCTATCAAAGTTCCCATCTTTTTTAACGTAATTCAAAACATGTTCTACCATCATAGTTCCGATTCCTAGCCGTCTGTAGGGGTATAAACACCCTAAAGTCATGATGTATAATCTTCTGCTTTTTTCTGAAGTGTCTATTCGACAGCAAACAGCACCAACTACTATATCATTGTAGTAAGCAAGTTTGGCCAGTTCGCCCGCTTCTAAGACGTCCTTATAGAATTTATCATTGTAAGAAACCGGGAAAACAACGCTGTTTAACTGCTTTAGTTGTTTGATATTGTGTGGAGTGACGTTTCCTAATTCGATATTGGCCCTAAAACGATCCGTACTAAATAAATATGGTTAGATTTTCCCGTATTTTTTATCAAACCTCGTCATATTTCCCGAAAATATAAAAATTTAAACAATAACCGAAAAGGAAAGTTAGCTTGCAATACGAGCATGCATGAATCGATCTGTCAAATTTAGTGACTTTTGCTAACAATACCAACAGAAAACATTAAAAATTACCCAACAAATTTTTATTTTTTTTTATATAATTTTCTTAATTTTAATAGTAATCGATTCATATTTAATTAAATATTTCCATATTATTCACAATTATTAATTTATTATTCAAAATTGAATTGATTTTTAAGAAATATAAGTAGACCATTACAGATTCCTTATTTATTTAAATGTTGGCAATGCAAAAATGGTGGCATATTTTTAGTAATGGTAGAAAGCGTCATTATTGTGATACTATCACAATAATTTTCCCTGTAAAATTATCAAAAAAAGTGAAAAGATTATTTTAAATATACAAATTACGGTATGTGCAAGTATAAAACTTTTCCATGGCGAATTTATTCAAACCGAATCCAATTTCTTAACATCAAAAGCTCATTAATCAACAAGTGCTGTTCTTGAGAAACCTTGTATTAAGCAACGAACTATGGCAGAAGGTCAGGTCTCCGTCAATGACGCCTCCTTTATCGAGCTTGCTGACATAGAAAGCGAAAATAAAAGTGTAGACGACATGAACACCCATAATTTAGGAGACATTATCATGTCTGAACTTATACAGGAACATGAGGGTAGTGAAAGTATTAAAAATGGGGACACTTGCGAAAAATCTACTTTGAACTCTAACCAGGAAAGGACCGTCGAAAGTCCTTCTACTGGCGATAATTTTTTACATAAATGTGTTTTTTGTGAACGTGTTTTAAGTGCTAATGATGATCCTAAATTATTAGAGTGTTTGCATGATTCTTGTGGAAGTTGTGTTCATGGAAAACTGGAAGATCTAAATGAAGGACAAAGAAAAGGTAATTTTTTAATTTTGTTATTGATATAACTCCACAATATATTATTACTAATAATAACCAGAGATTTTTAGGAATTACCTTGACCTACTTTGATATTTATGGTTGACCCCACTTACAAGATCCTTAAACATCCTTATTAAAAAGTTTATGCAATTAATTGAAGGTATTTTAGCTTCCAAGGGTTTGTACACCAAACAACACCATTTTGATGGGGAGAGTTAATTATTAGGGTGGTAACATGTCATTAATGTGTATGCTGCCATTACTTCATGTCTGTCTGTCTTTGTATTCTTTACCCTTGGAATCTTTAGGATGTCTTTGACTCAGTCTTGTAACCCATCTGCTTTTTTACAACTAGAATATTGACAAATAATAGTGCTGGGGGTCCAAGAACCAAAAAAGATGATGTTTAGAGTAACACAAAAGTCTGTTCTTAGTCTGTAGCTGTTGAATTAGTACAACTGAGTGCTGCATTTAGAAGTGTTTGAGAAAATTTTAGTAGACTATGGAGATAACCTGTCATCACTGTAGTCAGTGATGGCGCGCGAATTGTTGTGGTGATAAGAAGCCATCACATATTTAAGTCATATTGATTAGCAAGTATAAAATTTGAAAACACTTCCTGTGTTACAAAGGATGAGAACCACAATTACATTGATTAGCAAATAGCCAATGTAATCACACAGAAAAAACTGACTATGGGTTTTAGGTGTCACAATCTAACTTGGGTTGGGTTGGGTTGGGTTAAAGTTATGACTGTAACCATTTCCATTTCTTGCATATACAGAACAATGTCTGTAGTGTCTGAAACGATCTTATTCCAGAGCAAAGCTTCTGCATTACTTGATACTCAGAATCAGATAAGACGTCGCAATTTCACCAATATAGAAGTTCAGTTTGTATTCCTCATCTTTAAGTTTTCAGGTAATTCCATAGGTTTCTTAAGGTATGTCCAAGCAAGGTGCTGGGCTGAATTCTGATTCTAGCAGGACAAAATTATTTTATGGACTTAACAAGGGCTAGAAGACTAGAATAGTTTAAAAAAATAATAAGAAAAATATATACGAAGGAAAAAGTAGGTGTTTTAGTTGTCAGAACAGAATTTTGACTGAATTTTGAGGTTTTTCACATATTTTTTAGGGAAAAATTAGTATAAAATAAAATTGATAGATAAATAAATGCTAATTTAGTTTCTAGTAAAAGGAAGAACTATTTTTATAAAAATTCAAAATCCGAATCATCTTCTGATTCGCTTGGAGAATCCTTCTCTGCATCGCTATTCTGTTCATCAACTCAAATCTCCTTTGCCTCAGGACTCAGCTCATTCAATGAGACTTTCTGGAACGTTCTAAGCCCTGTAATAACAGGATCTGATGATATTAAAAGCCTCATGTCCTTATTCCTTGCCTTCTCTGCTTCCTCTGAAATCTGTTCTATTGGAACAAGAGCATGTTTGATAGCTAAAGAGCCATGTAAAAGGATTTTATGTAGGCTGGGAGGTTCTGTACCAGAACAGTTTGGCAGTATCATAGGTAAATGTGTTTTTTTCTTGTCATTGTCTCAATGAACAATTTAAGGAAGTTGTTTTATAAATACCTGAAGAATAGTTCCAAATCTAGATATTAGCCGCTTATCAACATCTGCATGCTTAAAAAATCGGCGGAACACATTCCACGTCTAACTTCCTTGAATTACTTTGTTTACTTTTACAGTGTCAATGACCTCAAAACTCCCTGGATATGAAGCTTTACGTAAATTATCCTTTTTCTTGCAATTTTAGTTCTCAATATTGTATCCGCCAAATTGATTTTTGAAAAGTTTTTAATTCTGACCCCAGATTTGTAATCAGCACTCCAAAAGATCTCACCAACACCAAGTTTTTTATCGGTTTGCATTGAAGAATTTTTGTTATATCTCAATTTATGGTTCATTATAGCCCTCCTTCTTTGGATATATTATTAACTATAATATAATTATCACCAAATTTATTTGTTTAATTAAAAATCTCTTGTCATTATATGTAATAAGCAATTTCGGATGCAAAAGCGAACATACATATCTACTAAGAAGATTATTTTAACATTTACTAAACATTTCAATCGATTCAATTTTTTAGTGATTCAATGTTCAACGTGTGAGTATAATTGCGAACCAGATAAGATAATAGATAACCAATTTTTATTGGAAACATCAAACACTGAAGAACCTCCAAAGACAATCGAATTGAAATGTAGTAGTTGCGGTGACGATAACATCGCGACTAGTTGGTGTGTGGATTGCGCTGAGTTTATTTGTGATATTTGCGTCCAAGCACATCAAAGGTTCGTCTCAAAAAATTACCGAATAACTTCCTAAATTATCATTTTTTTTATCCACTTAGGTTAAAAGTGACAAAAGATCACGTTATTAAACCAAAAGAGGATGGTCTACAGGAGAATCAAACGTCTTCAAGTTCAGGGAGTGTGCCCACTTTGTATTGTTCGATACATCCCCAAGAAAAACTATCGTTATTTTGCGAAAATTGTGATCAATTAACTTGTAGGGATTGTCAATTAACGCAACATCGAGAGCATAAATATAAGTTTACACACGAAATTGCACAGGACGCGAGAAAATTTATTTCCGGAATGTTAAGTGATATTAGGTAATTTGATTTAAGAAAATAAGTAAATAAGTAAAAAGGAAATTTACAAAATATTTTTTAGCTACAAACGTGTGCTGTTAAACAGTGCTATGAAAGTAATTGATGATAGACAAATGTTAATAATGGATAAGAAGAAAGCGTTGGTTAATGAAATAACGCAATTGGTTGTTAAGTAAGAAAAAAATTTTTTGGTATAGTAAAACCTCGATATAACGAATTAATAATATAAAAAATTTTTTAATTTGTGCTTTAAACTGTTTGAATGAATAATTTTATGTACACAAATTCCGACAGCTATCCACACAACTCGGGGAATACCCCGAGATTATCTATGAAATGCATATCTTGAAATCTATTCTTTAGAAAGGGAAGATAACGAGTAACATTTGAATGAGAAATTGGTTTTTCTTACTTTGACGAGGTCGCCTGCGGGCGAGGCGCTAGATTTTTTCCAAACTGACGATCAAATCTAGTCTAAAATCTAGTCTAATTAATATATCAAATCTAGCGCCTCGCCCGCAAGCGACCTCGGCGATTTGTGACAAACTCGTTTCTTATATATCTCAGTAAAGATAAAAACCTTCCTATAAGAAAAACCTATAGAAGCTTACCAAACTAACGATCTTGTATTAATTTATCAAATCTTGCACTGGTGAGAAGTTAGCAATAGATTTCTCTCCTAAAAATTATTAAAAAAAATAATAATATGTAAAAATATAACGTAAACAAATACCTTTGGTACTAATAACTCCATAACAAAACTTATAATCACATTTTTTCTAATTATATCAACCTGCCAATTTTATTAAGGCGTATATAAAACATTTTCAAAATTTTCAAAATGGAACATCGAAATCTTAAAATTTTATTTCACAGCCTTATTCTCCATGCCTTAAAAGATGGGAATCCGCAAAAAACCCGAGGCACTCTTTTCACTTAAGGCTTAAAAAAATCACAAAATTTGAATCGTATACAGTGTACGCCAAAAAATCAGCAACATCCGTTTTTTTTGTTCTATTGTACCTACGTTTCTGAAATTTAGTTTATACACTGCACGTTAATTAGCACACCCTTGCAAATTCAAACAATGCTATCCATATATCGAACTATAACGGCATTTTAACATAATTTTTGATTTGTTTGTATTGACTTATACTGTATCGTTTGTAATGGCTTCGTTGTAGTAACATTTTATCGCTGCTTAAATTGTTATACGTCTTTTTTCGCAAATATATTTACTATAAGTTGGCATTTTAAAAATTAAAAAATTATTAAAATTGCCCGATCTATTGGGAGTTCGCGTAAAAAAGTTCAAAATGCACTCAAACATTAACGAAATAATAAAAGTTTTTCTAATCAAAAATGATCAAGACGCAGAAAAACCGGAAAAATGGAAGATTCCCTAATTGTCCGATGAGTGCTCAAAGATCCTTCCGTTACTTCTTCACAGATAAGAGCCAGAATGTAGCAGGAACATGATGTCAACATTGCAAGTAGAACTATCAGACAACGACTTCTGGAAAACAATCTCCGGGGATGCTAAAGTTTAAAAAAAATCGAAGATTTCGCTTGGTAACCGTAAAAAGCGCTTGGAATTTGTAAAAAGCCATATTGAATCTCTTCCCCTTTTCTGGAATTGCGTAATTTGGAGCGACGAATCTAAATTCAATCTATACAGACCTGATGGTAGATGTTACGGGCGACATCCTCCAAATAAACTGTTAGAGCCAAAGTATACGACAAAGACAGTAAAATTGCTTCGATTTTATGCACTTTTAACTAGATGCAGTACGGTGTGCTAATTAGCGTGCCACCCCTGTATTGGAGATTCATACCGATCTTTCGATCTAAAGTATTTTCAAGATGGTGGCCACTTCCGATCCACCGGAAGTAAACCACAACTTCGTAATTTTAAATGGAATGCTATAGTTTTTAGTTATTTGTGAAAAAATATGGTGACTTTGATAAAAGTTATTGGTACCTAGCATTTTTCGTTTTCGAGTTATTTACTTATTTATTTATTTTTTTTTTTGGCAAATCACATCTCAGCTATCGCTCATTTAAGAAAGGTCTAAATTGGAGCGATTACTCTTCAAATGCTGCCAAATAGATTGTCATTTGCTGTATCACAGTATCTTATACAGGCCAAAAATTTAATTACCGTTTTTCCTCATTCAATGGCAAGAAAGTCGAAAATTTTAAACGGTATGCCCCATATTTTATTAGCTAACCAGAAAGGGAATTTAATTCTCAACAAATTATCTATAAACATTACTATACATATTTGTTGTAGTTTTTCTCATATTGGAAATTTTGTCAAAACATGCAGGAAATGCCGGAAATCGTTTTTTTTTTATTAGAAGGCCATGATATTTTGACAATTTTTCGTTATTACTTTTACAATTAACTACGAGTAATACCTTTTAGGTTACTATCTTTTATTTCCTAAAAATAACAAACAGAAGAACAAATAAATGAAACAATGAAAACGAGAATTTAATGAAAAGATGATGAATTAGATTTGGATAAAAAATATAACTTTGAAATATAATTTTTTTATTAAATTTTATTTGGAAATGCAATAAAATAATCACTGGTGACCGGAAATATACTGTGGGTATGAAATCCACAATATACATAATAATAATAATATAATTTGTTTGTTAATAATTCCAGTGGTTGTAGCATGCTGTGCACACGACATGTAAAAAATCAAGATAAACAAAATCAATTATTATTATATTCAAGTCCACTTCAAGTCCTTCAAATTATTATACATAAATGTGTACGGTTCGTTTTATTATTTATTAAAATATTATTAATTTATTCAAATATATTTATTTATTTATATTGTGGACAACAAATATACCCATATATACGTTTTCTTTTAGGGTCGATCTTGATATGTCCACAACTAAGAAAATCTATGATTTTTTCGGACTTTTTTCTTTGAGATGGGCGTTAGATTTGTTAGGTATTTTTCATTAAGTATTTGACACGTCCTATTCAAAATTTTATTACATTCGCCATCAATACAAAATAAATTTCAAATATCGGCGTTGGAATAATAGACTGCCTAAGTTTGACGTCACAGAGATGGGCGGAGCTTATACCGACTCATACTGTCAGAAAAGTTATTGTTATTTTAATCGGTAAAGAATACTTTACAGAGCGCCCTCTAGCGGCTATAGTAAAACGGACTCCAGAATCATCTTCCTCATGCCAAAAAACCTCCGTATACCAAATTTGAATATAATCGGTTGAAATACACGTGTAATATTAAATAAAAATCAATTAAAAAATTTTACTTGAAGATACAGGGTGTTATCTTCAAAACAAACCGTTTGTCGACCTATGTTTATATGAAGTTTTTGTGCTAATTTTAAAAGATTTATCGACTGTTAAAGTCCTGCTACAAAAACCTGAAACACCCTGTATATCTTGGTAAAGATATAAACTCTCCTATAAGAAGACGTTTACTCTAACTTCGCCAAGGTCACTTGCGGGCGAGGCGCTATAATTTTCTCAAACTGAGATTATCTATCAACATGGAATAGAGCAACTTGGAAAATAACTCGAGTTGGATTCTATCTATGAGCTATATAGATGACTTTCTAGTATGACTTAAAAATATTTTGTTCGTTATATCCGAAGTTCGTTAATATCGAAGTTTTACATTACTTATGATTTGTTTATATATTTTTTAAATTTAAAGATTGACAAATACAATAAATGTAAGAGGAAAAGAATTGGTTTCAAAATTAACGGAAGTATGTGAAAGTAAACAAAAAACTTTACAAGAAAAAAAAACGGCTTTGGATCAATTATCAAAGATGACGGATCATTGTATAGATTTTACAAAACATGCTTTGGATAATGGAAGTGATATGGCTTTGTTGTATAGCAAAAAGCAAGTTACAAATCATTTGCAAAGGATTAAATCAAAACGAGCAGATATTCCAAACCCCGAAGTGCCTGTTCGAATTCATTTGGCGCTAGATAAAGTTCCAGATTTAATAAAAGGTAATATACATATCTTTTCTTGTTCCCAATAATAATCAATTTTGATTTATTTTAATTCAAAAAGGATTATCTTCAGGTAAAGTAATTTAATACCTCCATAAAATCTTCAATATTTTTATGCGTTTTCGTTTTAAACTAAAATAGTCATATCAACAATTGGTCAAATTGTTGTGGACGGCCGAGTTTATCCAGCTCAATCCAATTCACCATGCGGATCCTTACCACCACAAAATTCTCCAAGTCCAAGTCATCAAACACCAGTTCTTCATCAACAACTAAATTTATTACCCCAACAACAACAACACGGAGTTTCTCAACAAGGAATGCATCAAATGCAACAACAACAAACAAGTCAACAAAACCAAATGCCTCCAAATATGCATCTTCAATATCCGCAACAACCCAGAATGTTACCGCCTTATGGACAACAATATAATCAAAATATGCAACAAAATCATCAAGGTATGCAACAAAATCACCAAAATATGCAACAAAATCATCAGTTGGGTAAGAAAAAAAATTGTTTATGAGTTTTTGAGATAATTTTGGGTTAATTTAGGTCAAAAAATATCACCACAAGGACAAATGATGCAAAACAATATTTTAGCACAACATCTTCACCAACAACCTAATCATATGCAGCAAAGAATGGCTATGCAAAGACAAGTTAGACCTATTTTACCTGCTCGACCTGGATTAAATAATCAACAGCAGGTAACGAAATCAATAAAAAAGTAATTTTTTAGCAGTGTGGAATTTTTTATGTTTATCCCCAATTGAACGTTTTTTATGATTAAAAAAGTGTTTGTAGCAGGTTACCTCATCAACTCATCCTCAAGCATTAATGCAAGATAGAAGTAATCTTCGTGGTTTACTTCAACCAAATGGAAATGCAGTTTATGTGCGAACCGGACCAACCCAATATCAAGCAGTCCAACCGCAATACGCGCAACAATTTCAAAATCGTTTTCAAAGTCCGCCCCCCCAATATCAACAAAACGTTAGGATGCTGCAACAGCATGGTAATCAAGGTGGTGTGCGTATGACACCACGTGCGTTGCAACCATATGGAATGCAACAACAGCAAACTCACCAGCAACAACAGGGACCATTAAAATGGCACATTCCTCAACAAGACCCAAATTTACTCGGAGCAAATAGAAATAGTAATAATCCTAATCAAAATCAGCCGTTCGTTAACGATAATTTTAAAATAACTTTAAAACCGCAAAACTCTTCCGATGGGCGATGCCTTCAATCCGTGTCTTCAACAATTCCAAAGACCCCAAGTCCGAATAATGTCCAAGGCAATGTCGAAAGTAGCATGGATAAACTTTGTGCGGAATCCGTGAATGACTTAATGGCTACCATTGCTAAATTAGATTCGAATGGGGTTCAAGTTTTAGCAGAAAATAGACCAAAAACCGGGGGATCACCACACGTTGATAGTTCAACAGGTGATTTAACCGCTCCCCCAGCAGGAAAAGTTAAAAGTGAAGCAATGGATATTATTGGAAAAGATGATCCCAATGAAGATTGGTGCGCGGTTTGTATGGATGGTGGGGAGTTGGTTTGTTGTGATAAATGCCCAAAAGTGTTTCACCAATCGTGCCATATACCTAATTTGAGTATAGAGTAAGTTCATCAGTCATCAAATCAGTTAAATCATATTAATTTTTGTTTTAATTTTTTTTTAAGGGAAAACGATACTTGGCAATGTTTACTTTGTATGAATTTCGCAGATATTCCCGAATCGGCCTTAAATGAAAAGAAGGAAGGTCAGCTTAGTGTGAAAGAAAAGAAAATTGCTGAAAGACTAGTTTTGGAACTCTATTGTCAATTTGAACCTAGTATACCATTTAGGGAATTACCACCAAGCGAAGTAAGTTAATAAAAATTCTTTTAAGGCCGCGTGAAACGTTGAACATTCGTGAGATGACATCTAAAATTCGAGATCGGTTTGACTCGGGATCTTGTCGTTCACAGATGTCGCGCCAAGCCAGATTTGAGGAAATAAACAAAATTCACATTTGGAAGCGATTCTTCCCACTACTAATTCCGTGCAAAAAGTCAAGGCCCCTCACTTTGAGAGATAAAAAAAATTGTAACAAAGTGAACAGAACATTTCTACGTAAATATGTTAATTTAAAAATTTTCGGATCCACGGTTTTCTTTTTATCGCGAGTTGAATGAAAAAAGTACCCAATTTTTTACGGTACAGCTTTTCGATTTTTTTTTCTCGAAAACTATCGTACGAAAAAATTTGAATTTTGAACTGGTGGTAGCCTGATGTGTACTTAATAAGTAGCATATTTTATTTTTTCGATATTTCGTACAGTTTCGCGGAAAATCGCGGTTTAGTAAAACGTCATTACGTCGAAAAGGGCTGGGTGGATTTCCCCGCGGATTTGACCAAAATATATCAAATAATGTTGGTTGTTGGATTCCGTTATCAGTTTTTCAAAATTAAAGCTCCCTAATTTTTTAAGAGCGATTTAATGGAATTACAAATTAAAGAGTAACAGAAATAAGCTCTGCGAGATGACGAGGGTTCCGTCCAATCGGAACAGATGATGCATCCCAGACAGGACGTCGCGCCTTATTTCTTTATGTAGGTAAGATAAAGGCGCGACGTACTGTCTGGGACGCACCGTCTGTTCCGATTGGACGGAACCCTCCTCTCCCCGCA